CCCAAGGGGCCACAGAGAATCCATGCAGGAGGCTGGGCAGCCATGTGGGCATGGCTTGACAGTGGCTTGGACCTCTGCAGTGGCTGTGTGGATGGAGAAAAAGAACAAATCCAAGGTACTGGATTCAGAGATGCTGACTCATGCTAACCCTGGCTGTAGGGCCTGATGTATAAATTGGCTGATTCATTTTTAATGAGTTGTTGCAATTACAGGCCAAGTGCATCTTGCATTGCCTGGGCTAGGACATTCTCTCCCAGCAGGCCACACAGATGGAAAGCCATAGTATCCCTGAAGGGTGAGCCAGGGGAGCCAGCCAGTAGTTGCAATGCTAAAGAGCATCAAATGCTGACAGCCTTCTGGACTGGCCTCAGCCAAACCCAGGGCCAGACCCCTTTCCTCCAGACAGTGGTGCTATAGGCCCCGTCAGCATTTACTTCTCTGGCTGACCTTTCTCTTTTTGAATCCTGTGCATTGGATATTCATATGTTAGTGTCATCAGTCTGGCCTTGCTGGCCTCTGTCTCTTTCTTCATCTGTCCTGGGCTGGCACTTCTGAACTCCTGGTTCTCAGACCTCTCACCACCACGGCCTCTCAGTATTGTTTGTAATTATAGACCCTCTCAGGGATGTTTTATTGGGGACATACCATGTTAAGTGCTCTCTCAGTTTATTTTCCTAGATCTCTACCACCACCCTCCGAGGGAGGGAGGAGTATCTCCACTTTATACATGAGGTGACTGAGGCTCAGAGCATTGGAGTCACTTGCCCAAGGTCACAAGGTGAGCCAGTGCTAGGGCCAGGCTTTGGGTCTGGGTCTAACTGGCCTGGGTACCCCTTTGAGGGTCTCCCTGCCCTAGTACCCCTTTGAGGAGTCTACAAGAGGCCAATGTGTCAAATCCCTGACCCTGGCCCATGGCAGTATTCAGGGATGGGAGTCTTGCCCTTTTCTAGAAGGAACTGTGATTCTTCCCAGGCTGCCTGCTGCACTCCTGGTTCATTCATTTCTTTCCATTTCCAACCTGTTCCACCTGCCAGACTGTTTGGAGCTCACATTTATAGGCTTCTTGTTCTGGGCTATCAGGATGTCAAGGCCTCCTGTCTGTCCTCTGCATGGCCCTACTTGTTCCCGTCTCTGGACATTTGCCCACAGGGTGACTCAGCCCAAATGCCTTCTCTGCCACACCTAATTTCTCCCTTTATGCGAAATTTAACTCCACCTCACCCCCCACTCCCTATCCTCTAAGCTCTTCTTTGAGTACTCTAGGTCATACTCCTGATCACCAACTCCCCAGAATCTTCTGGAGGCTAAAATGTACACCGATAAGTCTAAACCACATCCTGCCTGGATGTTTAACCATTTTCTGGGTGAGCATCGTCCTCCTGTGTTTCAGTGAGCTCCAAGGAACCAGCACGTGCTTCCTTCCCCTAGGGCCCCGCAGTGCCCAGCTGGCTGGTCTGCCCAGTGGACTCCCTCAGTCTCTGCTGGCCTGGGCCTGGGCAGAACTGTGCCCACATGACCGGCTGTGGTAGAAACCAGAACTGGGTTCTTGGCTTGCTTTCTGTGGTCTAGAGAGAGAACTGTACTGTTATCCTTGGACTTATGAAATCAAGAAAGATGTCATCATAGGGGATTTAAACCATCATAGGTTTTAAAATAATAATAATGTTATTTTTCTTTTAAATTCATAAAAATTTTGGGGGGTGCTTGGGTGGCTCAATCAGTTAAGCACGTGACTCTTGATTTCAGTTCAAATCATGATGTCAGGGTCATGGGATCAAGCCCCATGTCAGGCTCTGCGCTCAGCGGGGAGTCTGCTAGACTCTCTCCCTTCCCCTCTGCTCCTCCCTGCCATATGCTCTTGCATGTGTGTGTGCACTCTCTCTCTCTCTCAAAATGAATACATCTTAAAAAAAATAAATTCATAAAAATTTTAGTTTAAGCAGACTTTACCTACTCATCCTGTCAAACCAAGCCCTGTGCATTGGAAGATTTTATTTTTTAACCTCTAATTGTTTTTGGTCAAGAAATCTCCAAGTATAGTAGAAAAATTGAGAACTACAGTTAAATAGAAGAAAAAAATAATCTGTACTCCTGCCATATAGAAACAACCATAATTAATACTTTGTTGAATGTTCTGTATCCATGGATATGTATTAATCAAAATAGGGTCAGTCTGTATACGCTGCTGTGTATGGAGCTTTTCATTCAGGTATTTCCATGATCTTTTACATCATCTTTTTTTTTTAACTCTCTAGAAAGGATGAGCCATCATTTCTCTAACCAGGCCCTGGCTGTGGGGTTCGTTAGTGTCTTGTGCCACCTCTTTGGCTTCCAGCCTGGGCCTAAGTGCTTTCTCCTTCCTGTTGGTTCTGTTCAAGTTTGCTTGAGGCAGCAAAGCGCGATGGGAAGAATAATGGCCCCAGCGCTTGAATCTGGGGAGTCAGGAGGCTGGGTGGGGAAGAGAGTGGGCAGGAGGGCCCAGGGAAGATGTGTCGGAGGAAATGACTGTCACTCAAGTCTCCTTTCTTTCTGAGTCTCACCTAGAAAAGGAGAGATTGAATTATCTCAAAGACTTCAGTTCCTTTCATATGTGGTGCTGTTAGCACCAGGCATTCCCTGCCAACAGGCTCTGCCAGAGATCTGGGCAGGGGAGGAACCTGGATATTTCTTTAAGATTGCTGTCCTGGCTGTTTGATGTAGGTCTGGGGAAGGTTTGGGGAGTAGGGGTTGAAACCAGACTGAAGCAGGGGGGACAAGCACATGAACCAGAGCCTCTGGGCTGCCTGGGGCTGTGACAGTCATGTGGAATCTGCTTCTCGAAGCAAAAAACCTTCAGATTATTCTGTGAATCCTTTTTTTTTTTTTTTTTTTTTTAAGCAAAATTAAGTAGGCATTTATTTTAAGGATTCTTCTTATAGATCTTATCTAGTATAATGGCTGATATCCTCAAGTTCAGGCCTAGAAGAGATCCAGACCCAGGCAGACAAGTCTCACTCTGACCCTGTGAGGCTGTGAACAACCCTGGAGCTGCTTCTAATGCTTTGTGTCCTGGATGGAGCTGACATTTGGTGTCATACAAGTGACAGAGAGCCTTTATTTATCTATGGCTTTACATTGAACCATAAAATGTAGGGTAATGCCGTGAGTGGAAAGCATTTCTGAGTGGGGATGAGGCCATGTGACTAAAGCCTTCCCTTCCTCCTCATCTTACTTCATAATAGCAGCATCAGTAACAACAAACCCTTTCATTTGTACTACGAGCTCCAGCTTACAGTGTGACCTGTTCAGCACCCTCGAGCCATTGTATGGCTTAGCAGGGTACTCAGGTGCCCTGGCTTTCTAGCCAGTTCCTTTCACTTGGGGCTGGGCTGGGGCCCCCTGGAATGCTGGGAGAGAAACCAAAGGAGACGAGGGGATTGTGGGGTGACGGCTTGGAATGTATCCATAGCGCAAGGTGGAGCCAATGTCCATCTGTCTCTTTGCTCATTGGAGGCCTCTCTTGGTGAATAGGGTTGGAAAGGGACCTGTTGGGTCTAGTCTGGATCTTTCTCATTTAATATAATGGATTTAGAGGGATACTGTAGACTCAGGCTGAGGATTCCTGCCCATTTCTCTGTTCCTTGGATTTTAGCTCCAAATTTTTAATTTTTTTTTTTTTGAGGATCCACCCTGATGTGGGTCAGGAATAGGTGCTTTTGCCCCCTTCCAAAACAAAACAAAACACCCAAAACTCCAATTTGTGAGTTATATGTATTTAAAATTACAGAAATAATTACTAAGCATATAAGTACAAAATGAAGTTCCCTTTCTTCACCCACCCCACTGAACTCCCTCTTTTTCCTCTATCCATTTCTCAGTTGTGAACCTGTCTTAACAGTTTGGTCAGTATCCTTTCAGATCTTTCACTACACATGTATAAACACAAAGACGTATTGTTGAGGTTATTGTTTTATCTTTTTAAAATATAAAACCAGGGACACCTGGGTGGCTCAGTGGTTGAGCATCTGCCTTTGGCTCAGGTCGTGATCCCGGGGTCCTGGGATTGAGTCCCATATCAGACTCACTGTGGGGAGCCTGCTTCTCTCTCTGCCTGTGTCTCTGCCTCTTTCTCTGTGTCTCTCACGAATAACTAAATAAAATCTCTAAAAAAATAAATATAAAAACGGGACCATGCCATTCTTTCTCCTTTCTTCTCTTTGCTTATTTCAACAGAATAACTGGGCGGTAGGTACCTGTTTCTCTGAAATCTCATTTCCTGCTCCAGGGGGAAAAGGATAAGAGTAGACTGTCCCAGCGATAATTTCTCTAAGTCCCTTGCTTTTTTGGGTGAGCCCTAGTGAGATGAAATGACTGCCTTGGTTGTGATAGACCCGGGGCCTGTGTTCAGTTCTCCTGACTTTTACATCACCACGACTATGTTTGTTTTCAGTAGCATCTTTGTGTCTTATCCCTCTAGATCCATTCTGCCCACATCCCCATGAAAATAGCAGTACAGGCTTGGAGCATGAAGAGCCTTGCTTCGGAGTCAGTGCCTGAAGGGCCTGGAGCCCACCAGGGCTCTTTGGTTTGAGTTTATCCAGCATTTATTGAGTGGCTACTGTGTGCCAGGTGCTGGGGTTGGAGAGATGGCCTGGCTAGAGGGCCTGCTGGAGGGGGTCACTGACTGTCCTTTGTGTTCCTGGCAGAGTGGGGCTCCCTGGAGAGACTCTCATTGTCCCGAGGAGGGGCTCCTATTCTAGAACTGGGCCAAGAGACTGAGGGAGTCCCTATGGTCACAAGAGTGGGATGGGGGGTGGTCTGTGACTTCAGCTGCCGCCATTAACCCCTGACTTCTGCTCTGTCCCCGCCCCGACTTCCTCTCCCTCCCCCCGCCCCCGGGTTCTTTGTCCACTTGCGTCCATCTGTCTCTCTCTGTGTGTGGTTCCTGTCCCCTTCGCTCTGTTTTGTCACATCATCATTGCCCCTTTCCCTGTCACTTGTTCTCCTTCATGCTAATGCAGGCGTGCTGGTCACCATGACAACAGAGACAGGCCCCGATTCTGAGGTGAAGAAGGCTCAGGAGGAGGCCCCACAGCAGCCTGAGGCCGCTGCCACTGCTGCCGCGACCACCCCTGTGACCCCAGCAGGCCACGGTGGCCACCCAGAGGCCAACTCCAATGAGAAGCACCCGCCGCAGCAGGACACACGGCCTGCAGAACAGGTGTGCACCTGAGAGCCTGGGAATCCCTCTTCCTGCCCGGCTGTCATCCAGGCCCAGTTCTTAGCAGGGAGGGAAGCTGAAAACTGAGATTTATTACCGACCTGCTACATCCAACCACTGTGCTGGGGACATTGTGTTCACTTTTATATTGAATTCTCCCAAGCCTACAAAGAGTGATATACATATATAATATATATTATATATATATATTTAAATTAAGTTAGTGCTGTGCCCAACATGGTGCTTGAACTCACGACCCTGAGTTCAGGAGTCACATGCTCTGCTGACTGAGCTAGCCAGGCACCCGCCCCTAAGAGAATGATATTATTGATATCCCCATTTTATGCTTGGGGAAATAGCAGCTCAGTGGATGAAATGAGCTACCAAAAGTCACGTTGCTCTACAGTGACAGATGGAAGTAAAATATAGATCTGATTCCCCAAACCCAGTTCTTTTAACCTTATTTTCCTACTCCTTAGACCTGTCCATTCCAGCCTGGCAAGCCCAGTATGACCCCAGAGCAAAATTCATCACCCCAAAGGGACAAGGGACTTGCTGAATCATCTAGCTGTTGAATTCACACCCCCTTCATTCATGGCAGGCCAAGAGGGCAAGGACTTGGCCAAGGTCATTGGGGGTATTGGTGGCAGTAAGGACTAGCTGGCAAGGCTCTGCCCTCCTTCCACGAGCTCTCAGCCTCACACTAGACCAGTGACACATGGGTAAGGAGAAGGCCACACAGATGCTCTGATAACTCACTGTAGGGAGCTAGGGCAGCTCCAGTTCTATGGGAACCTGCAGTGGCTGTCCCCCCAAAGAAGCAGACCCCTTTGAGGAGCCCACCCTGTTGCACACAGGAGCTCTAACTCTCCTCCTGTGCATACCAACCATAGAAGCTGGTCATCCTGGGAGTCTTGGAGGGTGGTGACTCTCATTTTGGGGACCATCTTTGCCTTCTCTACTGCATCCTTGTTGTGTCTCATTTGGATGAAAGGCTGTGGCCTCAAGCTCACTGACCAGACTTTTCCCCATGTTGGACCTACAGAGCCTAGACATGGAAGAGAAAGGCTATGGGGAGGCCGATGGCCTGTCAGAGAGGACCACGCCCAGCAGAGCCCAGAAGTCACCCCAGAAGATTGCCAAGAAGTATAAGAGTGCCATCTGCCGAGTCACTCTGCTTGATGCCTCTGAGTACGAGTGTGAGGTGGAGGTAGGGAGCACCCCCCACCATCACCACATGCCTTGTCCCCAGCTAACTGGCCCCAGAGCCAGGGCAGGCTTCTGTGTGCACACAGACTGGGCCAAGCCAGAGAGCATCCATTCTTCATGGAGTCCTGGACCGACTGCAGCATCCTGGAGAGATGACCTGGCTGGCCCTCCTTTGTACAGATGGTGGCACTGAGGCCCAGAGAGGGCTGTTACGATTGCAAATAGAATTAGACAAGGCAGAGGGTTGGCGCCAGGAAAAGGTTTCTCAGGAGGGCTGTACCTTGGCAAGGAGTCACCGTCCAAGGACCGATCTCTAGCCCAGTAGGCCTATGGACTGGGCTCTTCAGTCTCACCTAGAAGACACGAGTATTTCAACTAGAATCGTTTTTATGTTTTTATTGGTGGGGGGTGAGGAAGACAGGGATCTTCTCCTATGAATGCCCCTGACCAGGGCAGCAGGACAGACTGATCACTTGAGGGTTCTGTGGTATGGGTAACCCCTGGGCATAGAGAGGTGACCCATTGGAAGGACTCCCTCACTCAGGCCATGTAGAAACCCTGTGGTGTGATCCTGTCCCACTGTGGGTAGTGGGGCAGACACCTCCTGTCTGGGGTCAGCCGTCCTGGCCCCACATTTGCTGTCTCCTTTTCCTATATAGTCTAGGACTCCCACCCTAATTCTGAGCCCTCACTCATCCCCTTAGAGGTTCCACCCCAGTCTAGGCACCAGTCCTGGCCCTCTCCATGCGTATGAAAGAGGCCAGAGGGTGGCCTTACCTGAAAGTTACAGGAACCACCTCCCTTTCTCCCTGGTGCCCTCTGGTCCTAAGGGATATGACTTATTTCTGGGCCCTGGTGGGCTGGGTCCCTCTTCTCTGCAGGGTTGTTTTTTGTTTTTGTTTCTTTGGGGTTTTTTTAGTGCTTATTGCTTCCATAGGAGGATTTCAAGGTGAACATTTTGCCTACTCCTAGGCAATAGAAAGGAATATTATCTCCCTGTTCTCTCCTACCCACACCAGCCACAAGATGCTGTTTCAGCTTGCCCCAAGAGCACAGAGGGTTTGGCTGAGGCCAGGTCCATTCTCTCTGAAGGATTCTTCCAGACTCACGAACCCCTTGACTTCCCAAAGCCACTCTCCATAGTCAGGCCTGGTTCCAGTCCCTGGTGACCTAGCCAGGCCTTGTAGGAATCTCACACTCTCTCTGGAGTCCCCTCTCTCTTTGGACAGTGACTGCTTCACATTCTCCCAGCCTTTGGTCCCTTTACTGTTGCTCATTTTCAAACCCTGGTTGAAGTACCCAGCCAGGCTCTGTGCTTTGTCCTTCTGAATCCAGAGGCCCAGATGGTGGTTCAGAGAGGTACTGAGCCTGGTTGTCTGAGAGTGGCGGGAGAAGGTGGCCCTAATAGTGCTGTATCCCGCTGAGGCTGATGTAGGCCCCAGGAGCCCCTATAACAGCCTTCCTTGCTGTCCAGGTAAGGGGTGGCACTCCAGGCTGGGCTGCCCTGGATTTCACTCAGACTCAGTGTAAGGGGAGAGCCAGGGAAGGAGAGTCACGCTGTGATCCCGAGTCTTAGGCCCTCCTCTCCTCCCCTGCCCACATCCTTCCTATTTCAGGTGGCTTCTCTTCCTCTTACACCCAAAGCTTAGACTTTTGGTTTTCTGCTCCTTTGGTCAAAGTTAACCTCCTTCTCTTAATCTGTGTAAAGGAGGGGGAATTGGTCAGCCCCCTTCCTCACTCCCCAGAGCATTTCGAAGGGTCTAGGAGGACCCTAGGAGGGTTCGGAAGAAGGCAATTGGTGAGCTGGGTGTTAGTGTCTCCCAGGATCTGGCAGGACTTGGAGAGCAGGGCAAGGTGGGTGGCAGGAGGAGTGCTGAGATCCTCTTGAGATGCTGGAAGACTCTGGGGGGTTTCAAGTAGTCCTGGTGGAGCCCCCACCCCCACCCAGCCTCACAGCAGCTCTGCTCTCCTCTTCAGAAACATGGCCGGGGCCAGGTGCTGTTTGACCTTGTCTGTGAGCACCTCAATCTTCTGGAGAAGGACTACTTCGGCCTGACTTTCTGTGATGCTGACAGCCAGAAGGTATCTGTGCTGGGGAGCGGAGTTGACATGGGAGGCCCACTGTGGGGGAGACCTCTTCTCAGAGGCCCCCCCAGTCCTGACCACATCCCATGCCATCCTTCCATCCTCAGACCCTTGTTAAGTGCCTTTTACCCCTTCTAGGAGTAGGTTTGCACATCCCCCCACCTCAGCCCACCCTATCTGTCTCAGTTCTCTGCCTCCACCCCTCCCATCACATCCTTTCTTGGGGACCTGCAAGTCACCCCCCAGATGGGTATCTGGAGAGCCATGGCCTGGCTTCCTGGGGGAACAGAGGCACTTCCTACAGCACCCCATTTCCACCCTTGAGAGGCTCCTGTCTGGGTTTCCTCCTTCTCACTGGTCCCACTACGGCGGCCCACCCTACTGCCCCAGGGCAGTGCCAGCCCCAGGTCCAGGAGCCCAAACCCTGTGGCGAATCTGGGCCTCATCCCCACATCTCCCTGTTCCAATGGGCCCAGACAGCTCAGCCCAGGAAGGGTGTTCTGTGCCAGGGGCTGTTGACAGGCCATTTCAGGATGTCTCTCTGTCTCCTAGCCCTCTCTGGCCCTCTCCTCCATCTTCCCTCTAAAGCACCCTGTCTTCTCTTTCAGAACTGGCTGGACCCCTCCAAGGAAATCAAGAAGCAGATCCGGAGTGAGTGGCCTGTTGTGGTTAGGAATTCTGTGGAAGGGAGGGTGGGGGCTCTGGGCTGTATGTGCTGTTCCCTCTTCCTTGGGGAAGTGCATTCAGTCCCATGAGTTCATTCGCTATGCACAGCAGATTTTGGGGGAAGGCAGGGCGTTGTCTTATAAATGGAAGCCTGAAGCAGGGACAAGAGAAATGACCATCTAGCATCATATAGCAGGTTAGCAGGGGAATCACAGATGCATCTGGGATGACAGCTCTAGAAGGAACTAATCATCTAGTCACAAGGGGACAAATTGATGGCCTGAAAACAGCCTCCCTCCTGTCCAAGGCAGGTATAGACGCCTGTGACAGGTGATCCTTGACTCAGCTCGGAATCCTCATCCATGCAGCACTGCAGACCACTGCCAGCTGACAGGGAGTTGACGTGTTAGGGAAGAGCAAGGCCTGGCCTGGTCTGGGCCATCTTCTGTGTTTAATGGTGGGTGGCTGAGGCCTAGAGAGAGGCAGATGCTTACCTAAAGTCATAGAGTAAACTATTGGCCAAGCCAGGTCTAAAGCCCTGGCCTCCCAACACCATCCTGCTCTCTTTTCAAGGCCTGGGGTGAAGAGACAACCTGTCCTTTCTGGCCCAGAGAGGAAAGGCATATTGTGAGGGGTGGAGCAGCCTTCCAGTGGCAGAAGGGGGGAGGTAGGTGGCCTCAGCCAGGGGGCATACAATGGGTGGAGACCTGGTGCCTAGAGGCAGAGATGCCTCCACTGGGAGCCCCTCCCCCTTGGCTGTGCTTGGACTCCCTGGTCCCTGGGGCTGGGAAGCAGAGCCTGTTGCCATGACAGCAGGCAGCTGGGCCCAGGGATGCCAGCTGACTCTCCGGGAGGGGCAGGAGGGATTCTTCCTGTAGGCTCCTGTCAGTTGAAGACAAAGAGGCAGGCACGCAGACGGAGCCTGCTCCTCTGGGGCTGACAGGGCCCTAGGCCTGGGCTTTGGGCTGTCCCTAGGAGTCCTGGCCCAGCTGGGAGGCCTGCCTCTCATGCCTGAAAGAATTGGAACACATACAGACAGCCGAGTGTGTGGTTTGAGGAGGACGGGAAGCTTAGAACGGAGAAGCAGATAACAGGATCCTTGGAGCTCGGCATCTTTCCCCAGAGTGGGGAGTCAGTCCCCCATCTCGGCAGCCCCGGCCAGCGCAGCCCAGGCGGGGGTGAATGGTTGCCACTGGTGGCCACCTCAGGTCATGGAGGAGAGGTCCTGCCTCCTTCAGTAGAGCCACAGTCTCCATCCCTACCCCTGGAACTTCTGCCCATTCATCTTTGTTCTGCCTTCTGGAGCCCCCATGAAACAATTTTTTTAAAGATTTTATTTTTATGTAATCTCTATACCCAACATGGGGCTCAAACCCACAACCCCGAGATCCAGCATCACATGTTTCACTGACTGAGCTAGCCATGCACGCACCAATTTTTGCTCTTTTCTTTGTGACAACTCCTCAGCTTCCTGAAGGGGAGGGCATCATGAGTCCTTGTGTCCTGGGCTTCAGAGCTGGCTATATGTCCTCCCAAATCTCTGTGCCTGTCAATGAGGGCATGGTGGGGGGTGGGGGGGGCACCTCTCTGGGCTCCTGCTTTTCCTTGGCAAGTGGATTAGTGATTCATGCCTCACAAGGCAGGGTGCCAGTTATGTGTGGACAGCGCCCAGCACATAGTAGGTGCTTCCCTGACATAGTCTGGTGTATTGGTTGAAAGATACAGGAGTCAGACTGCCTGGATTTGAATCTTGACTCCAACACTACTTACCTTTAAGGTTGTTGTACAGAGTAAATGAGCTCTTATGTGCCCCACACCTGGAATGGTGCCTGCACATAGCAGCACCCAGTATATATAATCTATTATTACTATTACCATTATTATTATTATTACTACTACTACTACTACTACTTCTACTACCACTACAATGACTACTACTACTATTATTCCTGAGACAGGGTTGCTCTCTTGGTGGCTGCTTTTTCTAAGTCAGCTGTGGTCAGGAGCTTGGCTTCTGGGGTCGGATGACCAGAGGTTACATCCCCGTTCTCCACTACTGATTAGCTAGCTCAGTGATCCCAGGAGGGGGCTTACCCCCTCAGAATCTTCATCTATAAAAAGAAAACTAGTTCAGGATCATTATGAAGATCAAACTCCTATATGTGTACATATAGTTCTTAAAAGTGAAGTGACCAGCACTTTGTAAGTGCTGGAGACATTACAGCTGTATGGGGAAGGTGACAATGACCACAGGGACAAGTGACAGCATAGCCTCCAGCCTTAGTGACCATGCTCTTCCCGGGCTGGCCCTTGCTTTCTCACATTGTCAGGGGCCTTTTCAGAGCCCCAGAGGTGGTCTAGATTGTTCTAGATTGGAGCCTTTCCCTAAGGCCTCCTCTCTCTTGTGTGGTCATCCCTTCTCTTGGCTTGCAGAGCCTATTTCTAGCTAAAGCCTCAGCCTTTATTTCTGTCTGTACCTATATGTGTACTATCAATTGCTTGTATCTCAGTATGGAGGTTAACATTTATCCCTGTGAAATTCCTTTGCTGCTTTCCGTTCATTACGTTTGCCTTTTAGGTCCTGCCTAGAACCCCATTCTGCCATCAGAGATGGAGCCGACCCAGCAGAGGGCAAAATCTTACAAAGAGTGTCCCTAAGAACAATAATCTGCCCTATGAGAAATGGACACAGCAGGTCAAATAAGTTTGGGAAACCCTTAAATGCACATGCAATTTACAATGGCTCTGAGAAGTCCAAAGCTAGGGAGCCCATTTATTTATCCATTTATTTTAAGATTTATTTATTTAAGAGTAGGGAGAGGCAGAGGGGGAGAGAGAATCTCAAGCAGACTCAGCACAGAGCCTGAGCATGGAGCCTAACTTGGGGCTCGATCCTGAGGCCCGAGACCATGACCTGACCCAAAACCAAAACCCTGACACTCAACTGACTGAGCCACCTAGGTGCCCCTGGGAGCCCATTTAATGCGACCTGTTTTCTTACCATGAATATCCTGTAGCATAGACTTTGGTGTGGAGGAGGGAGCACAGGCTTCAGATCCAGGAGGCTGGGGTCTGTACCCCAGCATTGCTGCTTCCTAGCTGAGTGATCTTGGGCTGGCCACTTTACAGCCTGGGCCCCAGTGTTCTCATTTGCAAAATGGGGATAGTCATCAGACTCACTCATAGGATTGTTGCAAGGTTTACTGAAGCGTTGTTTGTGATCACCAGTAGACCTGGCATGCACCATTGGTTTTCTTTCTTTCCACCTTCCTTCCCACTGCTAGGTCACAAGTCTTTCAACTTGGGCCTTACTCTTCTCATCTTTCAAGTGGGAATAATAGTCCAGGTTTTCTGACTGGATTGTCCCAAAATTATAGATATGAGAAAACTTTGAGAAATTGCCGTGGGATGGTGCATCTGGGCTACCCACTGGGGGGATGGGGCCTCTCTGATTGTTCTCTTTCTTCTCCTCTCAGGCAGCCCCTGGAATTTTGCCTTCACAGTCAAGTTCTACCCCCCTGACCCTGCCCAGCTGACAGAAGATATCACAAGGTGAGGGCTGTGGAGGGGTGGGGTGGGGTGGGCATTCTAGCCACATGACTAGGAATGAGGGCACCTGGTGCTGGTAGGCATGTGGACAGTAAACAATGGCAGTTGCAAAGTCAGATACCCAGCGAGGCCAGATAGCATCACCAAAGGATGCTGACTCTGTGCAAGAGGAAGTGATTCAAACACAAGTGGTCAGTCACAGCAGACTGTCCACTTCAGAGGGGAGGCATCTCAGGCAGCATCAGGATCCATGTCATTGATTGACATTGAAATTCAAGAGGACATGTGCCATCTCAAACAATTGCTGTTCAGCTCCAGCCATCCCTGCCACATGGGAACAGGGCCCCGTTTTTGAGGTGGAGCTAGATATTTGAGAGTAAAATCCACAGTTTTAAAATATTGGGACTAATTCAAACTTTTTAAAAACATGGTGGAGGCCATCTCTGGATGGGACAACCCAAACATGTCCGAAGGCTGATGTTCTGAGTGGACCACCATATTTGACTTTGGGGATAAGGAGGGAATAGAGCGCAGATGCCTTTGCATATAGGAATTTGGTCCCATGTGCTGCCCTATGTACCTGTCAGGCATGTGACATCCCCGCCCCATGGAGGCAAGTCTGGGATGAACCATCTCATTGTGCCTCAAGGCCAGTAAATAATGTGGCCTGGAAGGAGGGGCAAAGCATTTTTCTTCAGAATGAGAACTTCTGTGGGTCTCATCCTGCCTTTGGAATCAGAACAGGGAGAGGCCCTTCTCTTTATCTAAGCCCCTTCCAAAGGGATAGTCTCACTTCATGATATCCGGGGGCTGTGTCATCCATGTGCTGAGCCCGGCATTTCACCAACAATAAAATGTGGGCATGGAGTTATTCCTACAGTAGGGGAGGGGCTCCTAAGCCAACCTCCCTCTCCCATTGGGTCCCTCCTGAATGTTGGCTGCCTGTTTGCCAAGCAACGGGCCACAGGCACAATGCCAGCTGGCCTTGGGGGATAATATGGATGTCCCTGGGATAGACCTGAAACCTTGGCCTCATTAGCCCTGCTCTAACCCCTAAGGTCATCTTGGGTTCAAGATTCAGCAACAGGGTCTCAACTTCATTTCCAAGAGGACTGAGAGCTATAGAACCAGCTGAGTCTCCAGTCTTACCCTCTGGTATTTCTTCTCTTTGTACCAGATCCTGGGTATTGAGCTTCTAGGGATACCAGGAGGGAAATTTGCCCGGCTTAGCATGGGTGACCTCAGGGAATGGGGTGGTAGTAGCAGCTGATTTAGTCAAAAATATTCAGGCCCGAAATAAACTGGTCAGAGTGACAAATTGATTGAAATGAAATATTGGTCAGAGTGTTTGGCAGTGATCTTCAAATTTTTAGACTTGAACAAAATGCCCTTAAGCCCCCTCTTAATGCCTATGATGTTTGAACTGCTACTGATGCTGAGCCTAGGCCTTGGCCCTGAATATGCACTGAGGCCACATAAACATTTTGCGAGAGTTTTGTGCCATGGAGCAGTAGAAATTATAATGAGTAAAAACCACTTAAAAGGAAAAGAAATAGGCGATTAAAAACAATGGTGAAACATGGCAAAATGGGCAAGGACACATCCTTGGCTAAGAACGAGCTGAAACTTTTTTTTAAAATGCAATTAATTGAAAAAGCAATAAAAATAGTTTAAAATGAATCTAAAAATTGTAAAAGTGTGCATAAAGTCATAAAAAAAATCATATCCTTGTGGTTGGAAATGTTTTTTTTAAAGCAATTGTTTTTAGACGATTCACTTAGAGCTGGAGGCAAAGTAAAGTTTTGAGAAAACGTTGGTAAACAGGTTTGTCCTGGCTGTAGAATGCAGTACAGAAGTTAAAATGAATGAGATCAGGTGATTTATGCTGATCTGGGAAAGACACTAGGCACATAGCTGGGTGTGAAAAAGCAAGCTGTAGAGTCAGATGTATCATTTGATACTGTGTACATGTTAAAACCCATGAATCAAAGCACATACATTTCTGTATATCCATGAGGGAGAAAGGTCTAGAACACCACACGGATAATAGGGGTGACCTCTGGGAGAGGGGATTAGGGCTGAGAATGGACATCAAGAGGAAGTTTAGGATTATCTCTAAAGTTTACATTTGTTCTACAGTAAGAACATAATTAATTGTATGATTAAAAATATATAATATTTTTTAAAACTGGCCAGCAAAATAGTCCTATTTAGCTTGAAAATGAGTTAGAAATTTAAAATATTCCCACAGTAGGAAAAAAAAATTCCTCAAAGTTAGAAGTTAACAAATTGCTTAAAGCCACATAAAATGGGACAAAACCATCTTTTAGGACACACTTACGTTATCAAATGCCTGAAATGCCAGTGTCTAGGAAGGTTCCTAATTCTACCGAGCTAGGTGTTGATCAGTTTGGTTCTGATGGGTGGGTGGGCAGTGGTGTGCTGAGGGCATCTAGGGAGGGAGGGGGCCCGTGCCCATGGCCACTCTCCCCTGTTTCCAGATACTACCTGTGCCTGCAGCTGCGGGCAGACATCATCACGGGCCGGCTGCCCTGTTCCTTCGTCACACATGCCCTGCTAGGCTCCTATGCTGTGCAGGCCGAGCTGGGCGACTATGATGCTGAGGAGCACATAGGCAACTATGTCAGCGAGCTCCGCTTCGCCCCCAACCAGACCCGGGAGCTGGAGGAGAGGATCATGGAGCTGCACAAGACGTACAGGTTTGGGCCTGCGCCCAGGGTCTCCCGTGGCTTCTCAGCTATTGGCTAGGGCCTGAGGTGCTGTGCTCTAAGTCCCTCACCTGGCTTTGCCCCCGACTGGAGGTGCAGCTGAGAGTAAATCATCTCATCCCACTGCATCTATATCCAGTGGGAATGGTAGTAATTATCTGTGTGACCTTAAATGACCTCAGGTTCTTAAGCTCCTGTATGGGTGTAATAATTCCCTGCCCTTGGACTCTGAGGATCAGTTTTTTTATCTGCCAGCTGGAGAGAATCATAACTATCATGTGCCCCTGGGGAAGTGTCCTGATGTCTTGGTCTTGGTGTAAAGTTCAAAAGCTTGTGCTCTGAAGCCGGACTGCCCAGGTTCACATTCTTGGCTCTGCCACTTTCTACCCAGGGAATCTGGGCAGGTCATTTCACCTCCAGGTGCTTGAATTTCCTCATCTGTTCAGTGTGGGTGCTAATAGAACCTGCCTTGTAGTGCTGTTGGGGGCTACATGGCACATAATACAGACAACATGTATTCATTGTTGCTCTGTGATCTTAGGGGTTGAATAGTTGATTGCACAACACAAAGCACCTTATTCTAGGAGTTAGAAATTGACTAACCTGATGGGTCACTGTAGGGCTTGTGATTTAACTTATCAGTCCCAATTTTCACTTGAATATGTACGGCTTTAGGTTATCCATGTGACTCATGGTTGGTATTTAGGGCAGGAAAATTCATTGTGCAGGATGTTTGGCATCCCTGGGTGCCAGGCACTAAATGCCGGTACACACCCTTGCAGTCATCATAACAACCGCGGAGATGCCCCCTCCCCCATTCATTCCCAAATGCTGCTGTAAGGTCGGTACCACCCCTGAGGGGAGCCCCTGGAACTAAATGGTCTCAAGGATCCCTTCAGTTTGGAAGTGCTTTGGGCTCCAAGGCCAGGGTTGTTATGGGAACCCAATGTGATAAATGACATGAAGTGTATTGTAAACTGTAAAGTACTGTGCATGTGGGAGGGAGCATGGTGAAATTCTCTCATTGCTAATGAGGATAGGAGGCCCAAGGAGGGTTGTGTCCTGGGGGCTGCATCTGGAGAGGAGGCCGAGGGCCAGATGTAGAGGGATTGTGTATGGGGGTGGGGAAGAGAGCCTGCTGGAGTGTGATGGATTGCTAGGTCCTGAGTGGCAAGTGTCTCTCTCAGATACTTGCATACCACCTCTGACTGGTTAGTAGTGGCTGTGTTGAGCAGGATACTGAAACCATACAACTGATTAGCAGTGTCAGCCTGAGCTTGGGAGTAGGGGGTGAAGGCCTGCCTGCCGTCTGTCACCCTGGTCGTAGGTGGCAAGATATGTTAGGTATTTGCACGAATCCTAATAATTCAGAGAAAGAAGCTCATATATGGGCTGGAGAAATGCTAATGGCCATCCCTTTAGCTTTGACAGCACTTTTAACTGAAAGCCCTTGGACATCTAGTGTCCAGGCATCTCCCAGGGCAGCTCACTGAGGCACACAGAGCAGAGCACACTGAAGCCCCAGGGATACGTAAGTGAAGTGGTTGGGAAGGAGCACACACTGGAGCCACATTGTCTGGATTCAAGTCCCAACTTTGCTACAAAGGCAAATTATTCAGCCTCTCTGTGCTGGTTTCTCTATAAAGTGGGAATAATGATAACCCCCTACCTTACAGAAGATTCAGTGAATTCTTGCACGTGAGGTGTTTGGAACAATGACCAGCACATGGTGTTCACTAAACAGTAGCTATGGCTAAATGGAAGATATACAGTTTCCTGGCAGCCAAGGCAAAGAAGGAACTTGATGATTATGTAACTCTCCTGTCAGAAAGGACAATGTGCACCTGCTCCTCAGGCAGCATTAAGTGGTTTCTGATACAAGATTCTGAGAGAAATCTCTTACGTGGGTACTAATTTAGGAGCCCCTGGGTGATTATAATGAACAATGGCTTCGCAGTCATGGAGAAGCAGAATTTATGGCTCATGTTTAAATCCATGGTAGAATGAAGCAGAAATTCCAACTCTCGGCTCATCCCTTCAATACTTGCTGGAGGAGACAAGATTGGACCTGAGCTTTGGCAACAGGAGGGGGTTGGGTAGACTGAAGCAAGGGCTGAGAACAGAGGGGAGGGACTCGGTGAGGCCTAGCCACATGCACACTCTAGAACATTGCTGTCCTAGAATTACAGGTTCTGATCATGGCCACCTTCAATCAGCAAGACTTAAGCCAGGGCCTTTTCTATGGCTACCTGTGATCATGTTCTTTCCCTTAGGGGCATGACTCCGGGAGAAGCAGAAATCCACTTCTTAGAGAACGCCAAAAAGCTTTCCATGTATGGAGTAGACCTGCACCATGCCAAGGTACTGGTGGGTTCCAGGGTGCCCCTAGCACCTATGTGTGTCCCTGGTGCTTCTAGAAGGCTTGTGCTAGACCCTCCAACCTGAAGCCTTTTATATTCTTACTTCTCTTTCCTCAAAATTCCATAACCCTTTATTTTCCCATAATCTTTTAACTTTTCTATATCCATATTGTATTATGAACATGTTTGTACTACTACTAGATTGGGAGCATTATGAGAGAAAGACATAGGCTTTCTTTTATTTTTTACCATGATGTAATTTTATTTATTTATTTAGTTAGTAAGCTAAGGTTTTTTTTATGTGTTCAAATTCAATTAATTAATATATAGTGTATTATTAGTTTCAGATGTAGAGTTCAGTGATTCATCAATCTTATATAATACCCAGTGCTCATTACTTAGTGCCCATCACCCAGTTACCCCATCTTACTACCCACCTCCCCTCCAGCAACCCTCTGTTTGTTTCCGATGATTAAGCATCTCTCATGGTTTGTCTCCCTCTCTGACTCTGTCTTGTTTTACCTTTCCCTCCCTTCCTCTATGATCCTGTTTGTTTCTTAAATTCAGCATATGAATGAGATCATTTGGTAATTGTCTTTTTCTGATTGCCTTATTTCACTTAGCATACATAATACCCTCTAATTCCATCCATGTCATTCCAAAGGGCAAGATTGCCTTTTTTTTACGCTGAGTAGTATTCCGTTGTATGTGTGTGTATATGTGTGTGTGTGTATATGCATACATACACACCACATCTTCTTTATCCATTCATCAAGACATAGGCTTTCATTTATTTCTGTATCCTTAGCACATAGCACATGGCCAAGCACCACATCGGTGCCACTGAATGTTTGTTGGTGAATCAAAGATTGAGTGATTGACAGAGAGAATGATCAGACCTAGGAATTGAGTGAATGAATGAATGATTATGTGAGATTGGCCCAGGGGCTCCCCAGCCTGCAGGCTCAGACCCTGATCCTGAGGGCTCATCAGGGAGGGGATTCAGGCTGTATGGCATGCATGGACCCTGGCCTGCCATTCCATGGTATCTTCTCATGCAGGACTCCGAGGGCATCGACATCATGTTGGGAGTCTGTGCCAATGGCCTGCTCATCTACCGGGACCGGCTGAGAATCAACCGTTTTGCCTGGCCCAAGATTCTCAAGATCTCCTATAAGAGGAGTAACTTTTATATCAAGATCCGCCCTGGGGAGGTGAGCTTGCCTTAGGAACCCCTCCGCACTAGAATTGGCTGTAACAGCTGAACCTGGGTTTTTTCCTACATAGGATACATGGAGAGGGGTTCTGGGGTACTGTGTAAGGAGAGAGCACTTTTCTGCTGGGGCTCTCTGCATAGACTTTATGCCTTAGGTATGTGCCTCCACACATACACCACACACACACACACAGACACACACACAGGAGCACACATATAAAGATAACCACATATATTCAGGTTATACAGATCATGAATGCCTGTCCGTTCTTATCCATGTATCTGCTTACATGTAGTATTCGAGTATGTGCACATACCAAAATTCACAAACCTCCCCCCCCACACACAAACATGTGTATGTCCAACCTCCACATCTCACCCATCAAAAAGTCCACTGGTTTGTACCTCTAGAATAAACGTACCCATCTACTTCTGTCTTTCTGCACTGCCCCAGCCACCAACAGCCACCATCTCTCACCTACATCTCTGCACAGTGCCCTTCCCCATCCTTATGGCTCCAATGCTGTGTCAGGTCATTTTTTTTTTTTTATTTTTTTTATTTATGACAGTTACAGAGAGAGAGAGGCAGAGACACAGGCAGAGGGAGAAGCAGGCTCCATGCACCGGGAGCCCGATGTGGGATTCGATCCCGGGTCTCCAGGATCGCGCCCTGGGCCAAAGGCAGGCGCCAAACCGCTGCGCCACCCAGGGATCCCTGTGTCAGGCCATTTTCCCCATGACTACTAAGGAGAGATTAAAAGTCCCTTCTATCAGATCACATCTGATGGGATCAGATGACCATCCCCCACTCCTGCTCCTTAAACCTTTCAAGAGCTCTCTGGCTCATGGGCTACCATCTGAACTCCAGATGTGGCTGCCTGCCTCTCCCACATATCTCTGCCCCATGTGCACTGTGCTCCCACCCCTTTGGCTTTCTCTGACATTCTAGAATGAGCCAAGCTCTTTCGTGCCTCCAGCTTTTTGCTTTTGATGTCCTTTCTACCTGAAATTCTCTTCCCTGCCTTCTCACATAGCTGGTTTCTTCCCAATCCTTCTTCACATAGCTGGTTCCTTCCCCATCCTTTGGATGTCTGCTCCAAGATCACTTGTTTAGAGGGCATCCCCGGATCACCCTTTCTAAGACAGATCCTGATCCCTGCACCTGTCCAGGTTTTCTCTCATATCACACAGCTCTGTTCATTCCCTTCACGCCCCCTTATCAGTGTCTGAAATGATCTTGTTTACTGATTTATTATCAGAGCACCCCTTGCCCGTCCCCAAGAATCTTCCGTCTTGGTCACCATGGTGTCTCTTGCTTAGCACTGAACCTGCCGGCTGAGTAAGGGCTTAGTCCACTTTGTTGAATAAATGAATGAATACATAATTAAACAGGCCAGAGTCGCACATGCCTGAGAAGAGATTCAGAAAGGATAGATCAGTGGTGAGAGAGTCCAGGCCTTGCTTCTAACTCCCCCTCCTTCGTTTTGCAGTATGAGCAGTTTGAGAGCACAATTGGCTTTAAGCTCCCAAACCACCGGTCAGCCAAAAGACTGTGGAAGGTCTGCATAGAGCACCACACGTTCTTCCGGTGAGCCTGACCCTGGGGTGGGGCCATGGGGGACGGGCAGAGGCTATGAGTGTATATATGCAGGAGAAGGAAGTAGGAGGGAGGGGCCCTAGGAACCCCTCACTCCCCAGGTCTCTCCCTTTATGGATTGCTTTGAGCTGTAGCTGGTGGGACCGTGGCGTGAAAGGCCAGCTGTAGTCCAGCCTTGGGCCTGGCAGTGTAGGCCTAATCGCCTCTCCTCATGTACTCCCTTCACAGGCTGGTGTCTCCTGAGCCCCCACCCAAAGGCTTCCTGGTGATGGGCTCCAAGTTCCGGTATAGTGGGAGGACCCAGGCCCAGACCCGCCAGGCCAGTGCCCTCATTGATCGGCCCGCACCCTTCTTTGAGCGTTCCTCCAGCAAACGGTACACCATGTCCCGCAGCCTTGATGGAGGTATGCCCCAGACTGGCAGTTGGGAAGTGTGGTGTTTAGCAGGAAGTGGGGGTGTGCTGGCTTCTGTGGAATGAGCAGTGAATGAGGTGGGCACCTTACAAGTTGATTTGCACCAGGCCGGGTGGCCCAAGGGCACTGTTGCCCTGGGGCAGCTCTTGGTGGTCTTGTCCAGCCTATGGCATCACTCTCACTGGAATGGGACCTTGCCACTCTCTGGACTTCCTCAACTTCCTGAGACATGACCTCTTGGGGTCCCAGGTTCAGCCACATGGTTTTCTGGGTCCCCTGCCCACAACACTTAGTAATTCACAGATTGTCATCATACCAGGAAAATGGTATAGTGACTGCAGTGTGGAGCTGGTGATGCTTTTCTTGACTGGAGGCTGAAGGGTTGGTTTTTCCCAGCCATTTCTTTTGGTTCTGATGAACTGATTGACATCTAACCATGTGGTGCTCTCCACTGCCCTCATGCCTGTTGGCATTCACAGGTGCCCTTTATGACAATTGACCCTACATTGTCCTATATTGAGCTAAGGTTTCTCAAAACATGGTCTGTAGACCACCTGCATCAGAATCACCTGTGAGCTGGTTAAACATGAAGATTCCCAGGCCCTGGTCCAGACCTGAATTGGCACTCAGGGTCCAGGACTCTCCCCAGGATATGCACACTGGAGTTGGTAGGAGAGGTTCAGAAGCCATATGAGCATTGGGGAGATTGTTAGATCTGAGTTCAGATCTCAGCCTCCATATTCAGTAGCTGCTCTACAGATCAGGAAATGGTCCATAAATATCCATACATGAATGGATGGGAGGTCTTGAGCAGCTTAACTTCCCCTGTGCCTTTTCTTCTGCAAAATAAATAATGCCTACTTTGCTGTGTTATAGAGAGAACTAGACATGATAATGCCTCTGTAACACTAAAAAAATGTTCCTGGCACAGAGAAAGACCTTAATAAGTTATACCCAATAATAGTTTATTGTTGCCTTTAGGTGTGTAGAGGGTAGCTTAAGGTAAGAGGTGGTAGGGACTTGCACAGGGGAACAGTGAGGGGGACAGTACTCCTAGAACACATCAGGGCAGGCCTAGGCAAGTTAGTTCTGCTCAACAAATATTTTCTGAATGTTAGAATAAGTGTGGCCCTTTCCTTTGGGGAGCTCATAGAATAGTAGATCTGCAAGCATTTAATGTGATTCAAGCCATGGGAAAAGTATGTACAGAATAGAAGAGCAGCCGTGAGGAGAGTGAGATTAATTCTGTCTAGGAGGGCCAGAAAGGGCTTTGCAGAAAAGATGACAACTGAGCAGGGATTTTGAAGGATACCTAGGAGTTTTTCAGGTGATCAGGAGAGTCTGATACTTTTCCTGCCTTTTCACTTCCTATAAAAGTGAAACCTGTCCCAGGATTCCTTGACCATGTTTGGAGGACATGCAGTTTTGCAGAGGTCCATTTGAGACTGAGGAAGCTCCTTATTCTCCTTGAGTGGGCACAGGGATGAGAGCTAAAACTTATGCAAAGGGAAAGTACAGTCTCTCTATTCTCCCTTGCAACTTCCATTACTATACCAGAGCCTATATGAAGCCCATTTTGTGCAGGGTAGCATTGGTTTAGAGCTGGTAAGGCTCATCCAAGGAGGATCAGAAGCCTGGACTCTAAACCAGGAGACCTGGGTCCTTGTCCTCATTCACTGAAAGGTCATCAGTGAGATCTCTCCCCTCTTAGAGTCTCAGTTTATCCTTTGTAAAAGGATAGTGATTCCTAGTCTAACCATCAACACAGAGGATTGTGTGGATCAAATGAAATAATGTGCATAAAAGGGGACTTTGCAAAGTGAATATATATGAATAGAAAGGCTAATTATTCTCATTTAATCTAGGCCAATTCCAAGGATAATCTAGGCTCTGATCATTTTAATTGTTTTCTAGCCATTTTATCCCCCAGGACATAATCCATGGACATAGTCTGGGTTATGCCCAGTGCCTAGTATAAAGTCTGTCATTCCATCTTTTTCTTTCCTTTTTTATTTATTTTATTTATTTATTTATAATTTTTTTTTAATTTTATTTTTTCATCTTTTTCTTTCCTATGCAGAAAAGTACTTTGGAATGCCAGTGAGTGAGAAAGATATTGCAGGAATCCCCTTGAATTTTCCCTAATTTATAAAGAGTTTAAATTGTTTGCAAGTCTCAGGACTTTAGTTTTCACTAATAAAAGCTAATCTAACAATATCCATGTATTGCTAAATAATGGTCGAGTATTCATCACAACCATGTCAACAAAAATATCAACATTTGTGGAACAGCATTGAATTGGCTCGCTCTGTGCCAGTCTCTCTTCTAAGTATTTATACACATGAGCTTATTCATTCCTCCCCCAGCTGTTTGAAATAAGTATTGTTTATAGATGAGGAAACTGAGGCCCAGAGAGATTACGTATCTTACCCAAGGTCACACAGCCAAGAAGAGGTGGATTTGAGATTTGTTTTTGTTTGTTTGTTTTGGATTTGAGATTTGAACCTAGGCTCTTGTGCTGTAGAAGTCAGGAGGGGGTCTGGGGCTGGGAGGCAGCTCTGCCTCTTGCCATGCTTGTGACCTAGACAAGGCTACCCCCTCTCTGTGTGCAGGCTCCTTATCCCCAACGTGTTGGGGATGCTCCATTCCAACCGTGGTTGGACGGGTGGCAAGACTGAGAGAGGTCTCACATGGCCACCTGGCCGTTTCTGCCCATTTTAGCAGAGTTCTCCCGCCCAGCCTCCGTTAGTGAGAACCATGACACGGGACCTGATGGTGACAAGCCGGAGGAGGATGGCGAGTCTGGGGGTAGGAGGTCAGAGGCCGAAGAGGGAGAGGTCAGGACCCCTACCAAGATCAAGGAGCTAAAGGTAAGAGCTTGGCTTTCTCATACCCTCTGAATTGGGATCAAGAGGCTGATTATGGGTCAAGCCTCAGCCTTGGCGTTGAGGTGTTCCCAGCTGTGGGGGAGGATCCTCATTATGGGATGGAAAGGGCCTTGCCCCATACCTCCTCCCCTGGTGTTGGGTGGTAGGCATGCTGCCCTCCCTGCACCCTTCCCCTCTTTTTGTCCAACTTCCCCACAGGGGCACTCTGTCCCTTCAAGGATCTCGGCCTCCTCTTGCCCACTCTTAATTTGCCCCTTTCACTATGTTCTGGGTCCTCATGGCCCCCTTCTTTCCCAGAGCCTGATGGGATGTACCTGTGGGTCCTCACAAGGGTGAGGTCTGAGTATGTCCCCCTCGTGCTGCCCTACGCATTTCCCACATACTTGTGCACACGCTCATGCAGGCACACATGGCCTCAGACTGGCATGCATTCACTCATAGTTGTTTACCTCCCTTACAGTAGGGGTCACAGACCCAGTGTGCAAATGTCATGCATGCACACAGACATGTGTGCACATGGGTATTAGAGCATATTTCCATTATGCAGTTGTAGCTTAGAGCACAGGCCCCTGAACACACATGCTGACCACAGAAGCATGAATACCCAGAGCCCTCCTGTCCTATCTACTCAGTGTGACTACTTGCTTTGCCCCCAGTCCCCTTCTTCACCCCCACCCTTGGGCCAGCTCCCTGCCTCACACCCCATACCTTCTGGCTACCTCACTGCCCCGTGGGTGGTCCACCAGTGTCCCTGGTCTCTGCTCCCTGGGAGAGAGCCCTTTGGGCTACCTGCTGCACTGTACTGGGCCAGTGCAGTGCCTCTAATCCATTTGCTCTACTGACCCTGCTGGTTCCTTCTCCTTCTCCCACATCTTGCTAGCCGGAGCAGGAAACCACGCCGAGACACAAGCAGGAGGTACTGCATGGGACGTGTCACCATTTACCCAGCATTCTAATCCGCAGCTCATTTGTCACCATCCCATAGTCCACCCCAGGCTCCTGTCCTGGCACCATCTCAGTTTCAGCTTTGCCTCTACTCGAGGCCATCCTCCTCCCCTATAGCCACCCCCTCCCTCCACCCCCCCTCCCACTCCATAGTCACCCTTACTCCCCCCATCCCACCTATTGAGCTCCCTGCTCAGATCCCACCCCCTAACCAACTGGTTCTCCCTCCCTCCTCACCCCTCCCTCTCTCTAACCAGCTTTATGCTCTGCCTCTTCCTACCACCTCATGCTTGTTTCCCAACTACTGACCATCACACCTGTGTCTACCAGCATTTCTAGGTCATTCCATGCTTTTATTGGTCTCATCTCCCCTGCCCCCAGCCAACCCCTTCCTGAGACTCATCTCCCCACACCACCGTTTGGTCATGCCTCCATCTCATCTGTGTCCTCTGTGCCCTTGCCCCAAGCTTCTTTTTGTATCTATTCTTTTTGTATCTATTCCAACCAAAGGTGGGAGTGGGGGTTGGGTACGGAGGGAGGAGCCTCAGAATGTTTCTGCCTTTTCTCACACCCCAGCTGTTCCTCCCTCTGCATGGGGCCTGCTGCTCCAGCTTTGTCTGGAGAGCCTCTTCTTTTCTCTTTCCTGTCCTCTTCTTCCTCCCACTGGTTGCTTCTCTCAACTTATTCCTCTCTGTTAATGACTTCTTCACTTTCACACAGTCCCCAACTCTTCATTTGAACCTTCACTGCAAGAGACGTGGGTCTGTGGTTGGGCCTGAGGGACAGAACCAGGGGCTGGGGCATAAGGGCCTGGCCTTGGCATCCCCCAAATTGGGTTTCAGCCTCTCTGAGGGTCATTGGGTAATCCCCTTTAGGCCCCAGTCCCCCATCTGTACAGCAAGACATTTGGACTAGGTTTCCCCAAAGCCCCTAACCCTAACCAAGGATCCCAGGGTTCCACTGCTCCCTCTTGCCTTCCGGAATCTGTGTGCCCACAGAGCCAGCATGGCAGGTTCAGGATCCAAGGTCACAAGCCACATCTTGGATCCATTGCAGCTCAAACCCCCCACTCCCTTGTGCAAACTCTATCAGGTTTGACTTCTCAAATGTTGCTCTGAGGCAATTCAGCTCAGGAGGGATATAGGAAGTACAGACAGATGTCTGGAGGGAAAGCAGAAGCCTCAATGGCATCAATTTCCTCCCTGAGATAACTCATGAGTCAGTCATAGCGGATCCTTGGGTAGCAGAGATAAGCCCAGGGGAAGATTTTAGCCTTTTCCAAGGGCAAGCTTGCCTTCCAGGTAGTTCTTCCAGAATCATCTGATTTGACTTTATAATAAGCAGAGATTGTCCATTTCTTGTCCTGAATTGAGTTGACATGAAGCCTCAGACAGCCTTGTGGATAAAGGCACTGGAGCTAATAGCCCACCCGCCCTTCCTGTAAAAGTAGGCTGATCCTCACTTGACCTAGAGGCAGATTACTGTATCACACTGCACTGGCTTGAGCTCAGACTTGGCAGTTTGATGGGGGACATGCCTGTGACTCCAGCTATACCCAGCTCAGGTCTTGTGCCCAGCTTGGGACTTACCTCCCTTCTTCCTGGTCTCCATTTCTCCTGCTCTCCTGAATACACTGCAGCTCTCTCTTTTCTCTATCTGGCCATATCTCAATCTGTTTGCTCTTGAGGAATTGGTATCTGCAAAATCCTGGGTGGTCAGGGAAGGGAGTGGTTCATGGTAGAGGATGCCGAACACGGTCTTTTCCTGGCTCCTGTGTGGAAGCAGGGCTCACTTTTCTGAGTGTTCCTGGCTTTAGAAATATCTGTATTCTAGGCCCCCTCAGGGCCTGAGCAACTCCTCTGTTTGGCTAAGAGGGATCTAGACTGGGGATCCTGCTAAGCATTATGATCCAAAGAAGGAACCAGGACCCTGGGAGCCAGGGAGTGAGCCAGAGTAGCCCAGTGAACAGAATTGGCCAGTTCTCACAGTGCCTTGGTTATAACCAGAAGGAAGTCACTTCCTTGCCCAATTGACACTGGATGCACAGCACCAGTGGGAACTCACCCAGTCTTATGGGATTTGGATTGCCTTGGGTGTTCTGAGGCCAGGAGTCAGGCAGGGGGTAAGAAAAGATGGTGCTTGACAAGAAGCCTCTTCTTAATCTTAAGTGCTTTTTGCTCTTCTGTTTAATCTTAATTGCTTTGTGCACCTGTTGGGGCTAATCATCTCTGTCCCGTGTGGCTCATGGGGTGCATTGAGGGTGAGATAGAGTCATGGAGGGGAATTGCCTTGCTGATGTCGGGCAGCAATGGCCACAGTTACCATCCCCTGCTCAGAGCTGTTCCTCTAACACCTGTTGTCCTCTCTATCCACCCCTAGTTCTTAGACAAGCCAGAAGATGTCTTGCTCAAGCACCAGGCCAGCATCAACGAGCTCAAGAGGACCCTAAAGGAACCCAACAGCAAACTGATCCACCGGGATCGAGACTGGGAGCGGGAGCGCAGGCTGCCTTCCTCACCCGCCTCCCCCTCCCCCAAAGGCACCCCTGAAAAAGCCAATGAGGTAGGTCTCAACCTGAAGCCCTCAACAGGGGCTTTGGGTAAAGAGGGTCTGGAAGGTAGCTCTGCACTGACTTATACTTATCCTCCACACCCGTATGTCTCCCCCAATTGCTGCATGAGGTGATGATGGGGATGGGGAGGTGGTGGTGGGTTAGGCTGGGAAAGACAAATTCACTAAATCTTGGAATCCTTGGCATCCCAGGGACCACCTTGAAAAATTCAAAGGACTTGCCGTGGCTTGGTATATTCCCCTTCCATCAGCCAGAGTATAATGGAAAGGTGTGTTTATTAGAAATGCAGGTTCTGGGGCCCCATGTCAGACCAACAGAATCAGAGTATTTGGAGATAGAGCCCTGAAATCAGCATTTTAAACAAGTGCCCCAGGTGATTCTCATGGCTCACTAAACTTTGAGAATCCCAATAGTTGTATCCAGTAACCAGATCCTTTAGTGCCTATTGTGAAAACACAGATGGGTGGTATGTGTGTGTGTGTGTGTATGTGTGTGTGAGGGGGTATTCCCTCCTCGAAGGATCCTTGGAGCCCACTAGAGGGGAACAGATCCTCCGAGAAAATCAGAGCTGTGCCTCTTGCTTCAGAAAAGGATCCCACAGCCATCTGCCTTTCGGAGTGAAAAGCATGGGGTATTTTCTCAAATGAAAAAGAGATAAAGATAGGATCTTGAGGATTCCTATATTTATAATCCCAAACTATTATTTTTAGCACTGCTAAATCTTGGTGATATTTACCCTCACTTATACTTAGGTGTTTTCTCTCTAGCACTGCTGCTTACTTGTCTCAAACCTAACTGATCTAGACTTATACCACCTAGGTTTGAATTCTGGCTCTGATTCCTGCTAGCTGGATGACTCTGGGCTTGTTACTTAACCTCTCTGAGCTTCCATTAGGTAGAGATAATAAAAGTACCTACCTCATTGGAATGTTGTAAGGATCCTGGGAGAGCAAACATAGAATGGCTGGTAAGGTACCTAGATGCTCAATAGGAGTTAATTATTGCTTCATTTCAAGAGTTCTGGGACTCACACAGAAGATTAATTTCAAATCAGAACTGCTTTTTTTCTTTTTTAAAATATTTTATCTATTTGAGAAAAAAAAGAGGGAGAATGAGCGTAAGTGGGTGGAGGAGCAAAGGGAAGGGGACAAGCAGACTCCATCCTGTGCAGGGAGCCCAGTGCAGGGCTAAATCCCACAATCCTGAGATGACCTGAGCCAAGATCAGAGTCGGATGCTCAACCTACTGAGCCACCCAGGCACCCCCCAGAACTCCTTTTAAAGTTGGAAGGACCCTCAGAACCTACTTGGTTCAAGGTCATCACTCTACAGATAGGGCACTGAGGCCCAGAATGGGAGCTCACTTGCTCACTTGTAGCTGATAGAAGAGGGCCACAACCTGCTTGTCTTACGTCCAGGCCATTGTTTTGTTGTTAAATCACAGTTGCCTGGGAGCAAGATCAAATCATGTGAAGACCAGGATAGAGTCAACTGTGTGTGTACTGGTCTCAAAATTTGGTGATGTAGTCATGATCTAATGAGGGAATGTTTGATTGAATCAGCTCTCCCCATGACCCTGTCATGCAGGATAACAGGGCCTTGTCCAGTGAGGCTGCTATGGTAGTTCCCTGGCTGGTGATTCACAAAATGAGGGATGCTTTGAGGGTCTTTAGATCCAGTGCCATTGAAGGAGGGCAAATGTGCATCTACTGAGGGCCTCTGTGGTCACCCCGGGTAGGTACGAGACCCTGAGACACTGGACTGGGCCATGGGGACTGGTCTAGTGATCTAGGTACATGCCCCACTCCTCCTGTCCTGAGAGATTTGACCAGAGTGGCCTGGCTGTGGCTGAGGAGGGATGCAGTGGCCTTTGAAAGGGTCTGGCTCCAGCAGAGAAGGGCAGGACCAGCCAAGGGGAGCTGGGCTGGGGAACTCCTGGGCACCTCAGAGCAGCCTGGCCTAGGAGTGTGCCCCACCTGCCGGTGATAGCTGGAACTGCTGGAAGATGGGTCTTCCTCAAAGGTAGGGTCTGTTCCAACCCTTGCCCCTCACTGTTGCCCCAAGAAGTGTAGTCCACTGCTAGAAAGAGAAAATTCTGGTCCAAGAGCTCACCTTAGAGCTACGGACCATTCAACTAGTTTCCAGGGCCTACTAACATTTAGAAAGAGGCCTTTGAAGATTTGGGAATGGGGAGAAGCTGTAAACAAGGACTGGACTGGGTTCTTAGGTGAGTGGTATCACCTCTCTGAGCCTCACTGCCTAGTCAGTCCATCTAAAGAGGGACCAGAATTGCCATTCCATAGCATTACTGGGAAGGCTGAGTGAGATAATGAGTATAAAAGTGCTTTATAAACTAGGAAGTACTATACAGTCATGGACCATCACTGATGGTGACTGGAATTCCTGATTGGACTTTGCATTTGGCTCTTCCGCAAGGATGTGTCATCAGAGGTCCTGGTAGTTTCCTCATATATTATTGGACCTCATCTAGGCCGAGGAGAAAACAGTGGGAACTTAAAATAAGGACTTCCAAACTTTAATTTTTCTAAAGGATTGATTGATTGATTGATTGATTTGAAAGAGAGAGAGAGCACAAGAGCCGGGGGAGGGGTAGAGAGAGAAGCCGGCTCCTTGCTGAGCAGGGAGCCCGACTTGGGGCTCGATCCCAGGACCCTGGGATTGTGATTGGACTGAAGGCAAACACCTAACTGACTGAGCCACTCAGGCTCCCGGGACTTCAAAACTTTAAAGAAAAGTTCCCATTTGCCAAACCCAGGTTTTCATTTCAAAGATAATTTTTGAAGGGCTAAGAGCCAAACTGCAGGATTGAACCATGGGCTAAACCAAAGATGTCCAGGGCAGACTAGGAATCGAGTCTGAGTGACTTGGCTTTACAGCTTCTAGATTGAGAGCCTCTTGAATGCAAGCGGTATGGCTCCTCACCCTCTTCACTGAGGGCAGTGAGAAAAGAGTCTGAAGCCACGTTATTGAGGCAGCCCCGGTGGCTCAGCGGTTTAGCACCACCTTCGGCCTGGGGCGTGATCCTGGAGACCCGGGATCCAGTCCCACTTCAGGACCCCTGCATGGAGCCTGCTTCTCCCTCTGCCTGTGTCTCTGCCTCTCTCTCTCTCCTCTGTGTCTCTCATGAATAAATAAATAAAATCTTAAAAAAAAAAAAGAAAGAAGAAGCCACATTACTGACTGGCAGCTGACCGTGGGCTTCCTTTCCTTAAAGCTCCCCTCTCTCTCATCCCACTGGCTCCTTCCTGACCTAAGCCACAAACCCTAAGGGTGTGGGATTTACAAAGCTGGGCTATTTACGGGGTCTGTGTGTGTGTGTCTCTTCTGCTTTCTTCCTGTCTCTCTCCCTTTCTTCCTGTCTCTGTCTCTCCTTCCCTTCCTCCCTCTTTCCCTTTCCTCTGGCCCTGGGCCTCCCCTGCAGTCCCAGAGGACCCAGGACACCTCTCCGCAGGACTTGGCACCTGAGCCTGGGACGGCCACAGGCTGGGAAGTGTTCACTCAGAAAAGCCTCGCAGCGTCTCCTGAGGTTACTGTCGGCACTTCCCCACCCACTCAGCCACCCTAATGGTCTCAAGAAAACCCTTTCTCTGGGGTGAGGGGGGTGAACAGGCTCTGCCATGCAGGTGGGAGCCTTGGGTAGCCCTTGTGTCCCTATGCTGTGACAAACAATTGTCCCCATCTCAGGGATTCATAAAGGGCCGGCCCCTTCCTCATCCTTTCTTTCTCAGGCATCAGGCCTGAGACCATATTCTAGAAAGAGAGGACGGTCTGAGTCTGGCTCTGGCATCAAAGGGGAAGCTGAAATGATCTCCTTCTCATGGGCCTTCCTGACTTGAGAGGCAGGCTCTGATGTCTAGACTTGGGATCAGGGGTCATGGCACCTTAAATACCTTCTGCCCTGAGGTGTTTTCTCCATTCAGACCTGTTTTTTCCATTCAGAAGCCTGAGTAAGGTCTAACAGTGACTGTTTAGAAGGTGGCCCCACATTCATCCTCCACCTTCATCTTCTCTAAACTCCTCATGACAGGCAGGCAAAAAAATGGGCATCTTGCTCCAAGGGGTTTCCTTGGAGTTGAAGAGATGTGGGCCAGGCAATTGTTCTAATGAGGAGAGGACTTATTTCTGCACCCAGGATGGCCAGGTAGAGGGCTCTTGGGACTTGCTGTGTCCTGCTAGGCATGGAATCCAGGCCCAGGAATGGAGGTCTGCATCTTCCTCTGTGCCTACAGCTCGTAGGCTATCAGGATTAGAGGGTATTGAGCCATCATCTGGGTGGAATTTCCTTCCCCCTGATATCTGACCCTCCCGGTTACACGTAGTATGTATGAGGGCATCTCCCTTTTTTAATTCCCATGGAAAAATTTTCTAGTTGCTGAAAATGTACTGAAACTGTAAAAGAGACATGAGTCAGCGACATACATGGTAAAACAGAAATCACAGTTCTACTCTGAATTTTTCCTCAATGTGAACCTAAAAACAACTATCAGCACTCTCTCTTGAGATGAGTTGGACAGGAGTCAATAGCATCCCAAGGTTAGGGAAATAGCGATGCCTTGGAACAGAGAGATGCTCCTGGAGTAAAGGACAGGTGCCTATACTCTGGAGCAGGAGTGATGGGCAACATGCGTCCTTCATCAGCATCCCTGCAAATTATTTATCCAGCCCCTTCCACAGAGGTGGCTCTTGCCATTCTTCACAGGGGATCATTTTGGCTTCAGTCATCTATGAGAAATTTTCACATTCATTTTCATATGAATTAAAATCTGCCCATCTGCCCTTCTGAGTTACCTGTTTGGGCCTCGCTCTGCCGGCTGCTGCCTGAGGATCTGCTGGGCATCCTCCTTCAAGACTGTGCCTCAGAGTTCAATACCTCCCCTCCCCCTGAACACTCCTTTCTCCAAAGGTTTCTTCCAGAGCGTGGTTTCTAGAGGGCTCCTTGTCCTGCATCCCCTCCTCTGGGTGTCTCCTGTAAAGAGCAGGGCCCGAAATGTGACCCAAAGCCCTAGGTCAGGAATGAACAGCACAGCGTCAGCAGAACCTCCTGGCTGGAGATTTTCTCCTCTTGGTTACTTGTGTGGGAACAGAGCTGCTCGCCCTCTTCGTCCAGCTTTGGCTCCTAGCTGCAATACCTCCACCCCTCAGAACAGGGGACACTCAGAGCTGGCAATGAGGGTCCCCTGGCTCAGTGGAAAGAATGATTGTGGCACTGCCAGACATGATCCCATCTCCCATCTTGTAATGGGGTCAGGATGGCTTTTGGACCAACCCCCAGGGATAAGTGCAGCCCCTCCAGTGCCTTGGTGCCAGTGAAGCTTTCTCTTTTTTGTTCAGTTATTTTTTTCTCTTCAGGATTTTCACTTGTTAAAAGCAGAGCCTCTTCTTCCCTCACTGCACCCTCTGTGATCTGTGCAAGCCACTTCCCCTCTGGGAATCTCAATTTCCCCTTTTGAAATAAGGGCAATTGTACCTGCTTCACAGGTTGCCACTTGGATTAAATGTAATAACTTTAGACAAAAGGCTGACCTTGTCTGGCACAAATTAAATATAGGTACCTGTTTCTTTTTTTCTTCCTGCAGAGCCTTTCTTTCTATACTGTGCTAGTTCCCACCCCACTCAGCCTGATTTCTAAGCTCCTAGTTTCTAGAAACTAGTTTCTAGTTAGACTTGGGGCAAGAATGTTCCAATAGGGGTCTCACTGACCATCTTGGGCCACCATTTCCAGGCTCATGATGTCAGTACAAGCTGAAATAGGAGCCACTGAGGGCACCTGCTTCCTCGGTAAGAGAAATGAGACCTGGTTTCTATAAGCTCTGAAGGACTTTGCTCTGGGATGGTTCAAGCAGTGTCCTGAGGCTTAGCAACCCAAAGTAGAATCCCAGAAACCTATACCTGGGCCTTCTGCCTTCCTCTTATCTCTCTTACCTCTTTAATAAGGTTTAAGTCCCTGAAAACCATGGACATTTTGCTAACATGGATTGAGAGAGTGGAGGTGAGAGAGTTTACGATGCTCCCTGATCCTTCAGAATCCTTCAGATCTCTTGGGATCTGATAGATTCCTCACCAAGTCAAAACCAGAATCAGAGCCCAGTCCTTCACATCTCTCACCTCATGTGGGGAGCAGTGTCTGGCACATCTTCCCATGTTGGTACTTCCCAGACGTGGGGTCAGAGACTGGATTCTAGACCTGCCTTTGCCCCTAGCTTACTCTCTGACCTTGGACGTGGTGCTTACCTTCTCCAGACCTGTTTCCACATCTGTGCCACGAGGGGCCTGAGTCAGAGCAGTGATTTTAAAGGAGGGCGATACCTTGGCACCCAGGCAGCCAAGGCCTCCAGCTCCAACATGGCAGCCCGTATTTGGCTTACATATTGAACTTCCATTGAGATTTTTGTGAAGAAAGTCTTCTGAGGCTGCATGATTAGAATTCCAATGGCCTTCTGGCTTTTTAAAAACAATTCTGAAGTCTGTCATTCCTCCTAAGTATTGTTTGAAGGACTCTGGGAGAGATGGAGGCCTGTTTTCTTGATAGTTTGACAGTGCTACACTCTTGTTGGTGCTTTTGACCAATGATGACTCTTGGATTTTTAGATATTTTCCTTCAGTGATGTCTTCTGGTCAACCCTTTTCTACTCTTTCCATGGATTTTGTTAGGTTTCTCCAAGAATAGGCCTTCGTATTCTTTTCTTTGGGAATGAACCCTGCAAAGTTCAAGCTATTCAAGCCATTGTGGTGACTAGTACTGATCCCTTCAGCTGGAGATTTGGCATTTTTCATTCTAATCTCTTTCCTTCCCAGAAACTCTTATAGAAAAGTCAGATTTCAGGCTGTGGCCTATGGAACTTAATCCAGTGCTTTCCCTCTTGACATTAGATCATAGTTGGGATCCGTGTTCTATAGGCTATGAGATAAGTTGGCAAGGATCCCAGGCATCCAAAATCAGGCAGTCTTTTTCTGACTCTTATCACGAACTAGTTGTGATGTTGGGGAAGTCACTGACCTTCTGCAGGCCTCAGTTTACCCATTTGCACGGTGAGGAAATTGGACCAGAGGATGTCTTAGGAGTTCTTTTTGCTCTAACATTCAATGATTCCACGTGATGTAAGTTACTTTCCTCTGTGACAGTGGCAGTTGTGTTATTAAAAGAGGAAGAGGAAGAGTCCTGGCCCATCCATGGATGTCCATTGTCCCATGATTAACATGGGGAGGGCGTGAGACCCCATCCCATTTTACCAAGTTGGGGTAGTGTTTAACGGGAGTTGGTAAATATTTGCAGGGTACTTTAATGGGAAGAAGATCTTTGATGAGGCTGACTAGCATTGTCATGCCTTTCTCTCTCCCCAGCCAGTTCTGGGGGACATGCTGACCTTTTGGTGGTAGATTGGTCCCTTCTTACAGAGGAAAAAGTGACCCATTCTTCAGGTGCCTGATATTTCATGTTAACTCTTCTTGCTCCAATTGAAACACAGGGTTCAGAGCATTGGGTATTTATAGAAAGAGAGTACACTAGGCCAGAAGAACGCCTGAAAGTGGCCACCACGCAGCAGGAAGGAAGTAAGACAGGCCTCGAAGATATCCTTGCTGATGGCAGACTCTCCAAGGTAGACATCCTGGTGGACAAGTTCAAAGTTGAAGTGGCCACAGAAGAAACAGTGGGAGTGAGAAGAGCAAATACCCAGCAACAAGGAAGAATGATCGCAAGTCCTGAAGACTTTGAGTCAGTATGGGAGGAAGGCCCCTGGGTCAGGAAAGGCCCAGGAGGGGCCTCTCTGGCTGCAGGCTGCACCCCGGCAGAAAACCTCCTTGAGGGCTCCCAGTTGAGGGTGGGCACTGGGGAGGCAGCCATCAAGAAGCGCTGGATCTCAGGTGGTCAGCTGGAGGGCCAGATGGAGCTGAGGAAGGAGCTGGAAGAGTTCCAGGCTTGGGGAAGACCCGCTGCCTCAGGAAGCAGGTCAGCAGAGGCTGATGTCCCCTCTCCAGCCTCTGACAAGGGAGGACTCCAGTCGTTTCTGCTGGACCCAGCCCAGTCGGAAGCCAGAGGTGACTCAAGTGATGAAACCGAACCTTCCTTTGCAGAGAGGAGCTTCTATCTGAACTATGGAGAGAAAGATTCTGAAGACCAAGTCCTCCCACCACCCCTGGAAAAGAGGGAAGAGCACTCAGATGCCCTTCCTGTTGATGACACCAGGCTGGAGCTCTCAGACAAGCTCACAGAGAGCTCTGAGCTTATTTCCTTGGACCTACAGGACTCTGCTGCAGCTTCCAGCAGGAACAAGGATGAAGAGGGTAAAACCCACACAGCTTCCTTAGAGGAAGGGGCAGGGTCCCCCAAAAACCACGGAAGACCAGATGGCCTGGAGGCGTCTGTTGAGCAGCTGGGGAAGGGACCTTCTCCAGAGCAGACATTTGCTGAGGACTGGGAAGAGGCTGGGTGGGGGGTGGAAGGAGAATGTAGCCACCCAGCATCCAACATAGTCACAGAGGAAAAGGCCGAGAAAAATCCCCCCGCAGGATGGAAGAACCACTCACCCCACAGAGGAGGGAGCATGTGCCCAGACCTCCCAGCCTGCACCCTTCCGCAGGCCGTCCCTCCTAATGATGTCAGGAAGCCAGCCAAACCAGACAGAAGCAACTTCCTGCCTCAAGACAGGGGACTGGTTCACATACAAACAGGAGAACCTGCGATGGAGGACAGAAAGGCCTCAGCGTTTCTTCAGATGGAGGTGATCGCCCCCCTCCCGGCCTCTCCTGGTCCTTTTCAGGCTCAGGCAGCTCCAGAGGAAACCTTTCCAAGCCCAGCCCCTCGTGGGTCAGGGGAGCCTCTGCAGCTTTGGGATCGGGATCCTTTTGGAGAACAGTCTCCTCTGTTTCTTAAACATGCCCATCCTTTGAAAGAGAGCCCAGAGCCCAAGGACCGAATAGGACCACTCGTGACCCCAAATGGAGGTGAGCGCAGGGCACCTCCCGTTGCCAGCCGAAAGCCCAGATTTGTCTCTGAAGAAGCTGAGGGCGCTGTACCCCCTTCAGGGAAGCAGAGAGAGATGACCTCTTTCCAGGCCAGGGGCCAAGAGGGCTCCCTGGAAGATATTAGCAAGACCTCAGTGGCCAACAAAATTCGGATCTTTGAGACCCATGGAGCTGAAACTCGCCGAGCAAGTCAAGGTGAAACAAGGACCCTAATAAACGAGTTGTCTTCAGAGACCTCCACGGGTCAGGTAGAGCAGCAGCGGAATAAGCTTTTGGACCTGGGCTTCGTCCAACTCCAGCCCCCAGGAGACTTCACTGGCCCCAAAGCCACCCATTCCTCAGTAATGCCACTGGCTACCAGACACTTCAGGGAGGACACATCCCACCAGGAAGGATGCACGGAACCGGTGTCCCCTGATTCAGGCTGCGAAACAGCGCTGGAGGAAACCCCTGGGGGAGCTGGCCACGTGAGCCCCCGCCCCACCACTGCCCCCCAGCTGGGGGAGCGGACCGCATGCTACGTAGCTCTGTAGAAGCATGTTTCAGGGGCCCCTCATCATTACTGCGATCAGAGGCTGTTTGTCCATTCCTATGAGTTATTTTCCCTAAATAGGCCCGAGCATAGCCCAGGCGGAATGATGGGTTCATCTGCTTGGCCCCTGTTAGCTTAGCCACAGAGACCCTCAGCTTTTGGTGTGACCTGGTGCCCAGAGGGTCACGCCACCCCAGTGGAGAAGGTGGCACTACCACCAGCAAACTACACATACTTGCTTTGCCTTGCTGCCCCCACCTGCTGGGCTCCTACCTGTTTTGCTTGGCTTATCCAACGATCTTCCTTCATCCTTTCCCTTCCCTGGTTTTCCTGCCTTGGGGAAGCTGACAGTCCAGAAGTTTCCATCCTTCGCTTCTGGTTCCCTCTTGGTCCCACTGCCAAGTTCCTTTCTGCTTCTATAAGACTAACTATCTTCTCTAATCCAGAACAAATCCGGAGATGCGGTCAGGGAAGAGAAGCACATCAGCAACTTAGCAGCAAACCCCCCTGGAAAAGGGGGGCGCCTGAGATTCGCCAGCCCCTTGGGCCCTCAGGTCTCTGCAGCCCCTTGGTACCCTGATGACCGCCTGGCCAGGGTGCATCACTGCCTTAGATTTCCACCTGCTCTGGCAGTGCCTCTCATGGCAGCTCAACTCTCGCTTGTCTGGAATGTGTCCTCACACCTCTCAACCTTCTAGAAACTGGCTAACATGGAAGCTAAGTTTAGCAAGCGAATCTCTAAGTGCACTGAATCTCTAGAGCCTGAAGCCAACTACTTTAAAATATTTGGTGGGTGTTAGATTGGGCTTTAAAAAGAATGTCATGCAACAGCCAAAAATGTGCATGTGGTGTTTAATCCCCGACAGGTCAGTTGAGAGGTATGTATGTTGGACAAGAGTTGCTGGTCCCTCTCCGGCGTTTCCTTGGCCTGCCATTGTCAATTACACTGATGGGACTAGAACCTCCACTCCGTGGCCTGCCTGCTAGCCCCTCATGGAGCTCAGGGTGGAACTGATATAGCACCCAGCTCCCAGGAATTAACCCTATTGGTCCTCCCCCTAGACAATACTGACCCCTCCCACAGAGACTCAGTGGAATTGACAAACCATGTTGGCTTCCTCTTTGTTTCTCAAAGCTCTCGGCTCCAGCCTCCCTGCCTTCCCATCCTGGGTTTCCCCAAATCCCTGGGTCTCCCTCCTTGGTTTCTGTCTCTCGATGCCGACCTGCACGGATGGGCCTGGGTCTAGGCTTCCATCCCTGCCTTGCACACAATGCTGCTTCTGATAAGCTCCCAGACCCAGACCTTGGATGGGGGCTTCCTGTCCAGAATCAACTGGCAGGATATTTGCTTTGTACTTGCTTTGGCCATCAGCGGGAGACCCTCGGAAGGAGCGTTCCCCACTCTTGAGAACTTTGCGGGTTTTTTTGTTTTTTGTTTTTGTTTTTTAAAGCTTGTTGTCATGTCAAGGAACCTTCCCGGGAGTGTTTTTCATTTCCTGACCTGCTCTTCTATTTGAGACATTGAAATGGCCCCAAGTTTCTTCTGTCATTCACCATCTTGCTTTCTCTCTCTCTTCCCACCCCATACCCCTGTTCCTTTGATTTTTATCTGGCCGTAGAGAGCAGGGCTAAGGGAGGGCTCAGAGGAGAAAGTCAAACCGCCTCGTCCCAGGGCCCCAGAGAGTGACACGGGAGATGAGGACCAGGACCAGGAGAGGGACGCAGTGTTCCTGAAGGACAACCACCTGGCCATTGAGCGCAAGTGCTCCAGCATCACAGTCAGCTCCACGTCCAGCCTGGAAGCTGAGGTTGACTTCACGGTCATTGGTGACTACCATGGCAGCGCCTTCGAAGACTTCTCCCGCAGCCTGCCTGAGCTCGACCGAGACAAAAGCGACTCAGAAACTGAGGGCCTGGTGTTCTCCCGGGATCTCAGCAAAGGGGGCCCCAGCCAGGAAGACGAGTCTGGGGGCATCGAAGATAGTCCAGATCGAGGGGCTTGCGCCACCCCAGATATGCCCCAATTTGAGGTACAGTGGAGCATCCTGGAGACCTGGGCCCTGCAGGCACTGCATGTTCAGAGGGCCCTGGGCCATTTGTGAGAAGACTGAGCCGCCAGCCTGCAGCCCAGAGCCCCTCAGCCTGAAGCTCTGTCTCATGTTGCATGACTGCCCCTCGCAGAAAGCATGGTTCTGTGCTCGCATGTTTACCATCTTGGTTTACCCCTAACATGCACTCCTTGGTGTTTTTAACCTTGTGACCCCACCGCTTGCCTGAGGTCAAGTGATGCCAAGCAGTCTGGTCTTACTCGGCTCCTCTCCCTGCCTGTGATGCATGGCACCTGCACAGAGCATGTGCTTGTGGACTTGCAGGACTTGCAGGACTCTCAGGGCTCCTGCGGCCTGGCCTGAAAGTTGATGGCTCTTCCTGATCCTGGCCCGGCTCCCTCCCTGGGTCTGGGCTTCCTGGGGAAGGGGCAGTGGTCTAAACCCATCTGGCCCTGGGGTCTTGGGGTAGCAGTGGAAACTCCTAGAGAAGAGGAAACATCATCATGGAGGGGGACATAGGGATAGACCATATCTGGGTCTCTCTGCTTTGTGTCCTTGTGTCAGAGGATCTTTGTCCTATGATTCCTTTGCCCTCTCATCTCTTGCAGTCCCAGCCTGTCTCCCACCACACCCTCCTCTCTCCCATGTTCCAGGCTTTGAAATATGAGCTCATCCACTCTGGGCTTTCATTCTATGCAACACCTTCTGGGTAGAAAGTTTTCCTTCCCCTTCTCTGCCTTGCAAACTTGTCATATTTCAGGACCAAGGTCAGATATCACCTTCCCTAGCAAATGCTTTCCTGACCACCCTGGGCAGAAGTGTTGCTCCCTCCACAGCCCCCTTGCTCTATAATGCTTCTGCTCCCAGCATCATCCAAGGTAGTCAGGCTAATGGCTGCCAGGTCTGCTCTCCCACCGGGTGGCAGCTCCTTTAAGCCTGCACATACCAGGCACTAATAGATGATTAACTGGATGAGTGGCTAGATCTCAGGGCTACAGTAATCTATAAGAATCCCTCACACTCCCCTCCCAACCAGATGGCAAGCTATTTCATTTGTTCATTCAGTTCACATATGCTAATAGTCACATGAACTGGCCTTGGTGGAGGAGTCTGAAGAAACTGATCATTTAACTGAAGACTTCTAGAGTAGAGGTTGAAAACTGGTGGCCCCAGGCCAGATCTGGCCACCAGATATATTTCCTTTGACCTTGATTAAAGAATTGGGACGTGGAATATAAAATCCACAGGTGTTTTTTTTTTTTATCATTAAAAAGATCAGATGATCCAGTCACTCAGAGGCCATGGCTGCAGTTGGCCAAACCTGAGTGGAACCCATGTGTTCTCCTATTCACCAGTCCTCAATAAGCCCACTTCGCCCCTTTGCATCTCCTGCCTGGCCTCTCAAGGCCTCCAGGTATGTGACTCCTGCTTTCAAGAACAGTTCAAAGGAAGCAGCTGGGAGGTGGTAGCATAATCATTGAAGTCATTTGGGATTCACTAACATCTATATAAGGACAGAATGTAATGTGGGGCCCAGAACAGAGCATGTTAATTGAATAGTAGATGTTCTTTTAATGGTAGTCTAAAAAACACCTTCCACCTGGTATGAGGTTATGCGGTGGCAGGGTCATGAGCGGCCTGTCTGGACGCTGCTGGCAGTTCCGGCTCTCCCCTTGGGCTGTCTGTCTGATGGCTTGCCATGCCTCTTTGCCCTGACCTGCATACCCTTCCAGAGACCTGGCCAGCTGCAGGGATGGAAATACACTACAGTTGTCTGTGAGCCGGAGTCCTGCAGAGGCTTGGGTTATGGACGGTTCCCCTTCATCTCCCTACAGCCTGTGAAAACAGAAACCATGACGGTCAGCAGCCTGGCCATCAGAAAGAAGATTGAGCCAGAGGCTGTACTGCAGACCAGAATCACCACAATGGACACCACCCAGGTAACCTGTGCCTCCCATTGCACCCTCAGCATAGATACTGGACATTCAAGGGTGGGGTCCCCTCAAGGCCAAGCCCCTTGGCCAACTCTTGCCACTTTGGCTTCTCCAGAGCCTCCTTGTTAACCTTGATGCTCTTCTGAGCTTCACTGTCCTCCCTGAGCTCTGGAGGTAAGCAGTACAATGAGTTCCTGTCCTGGGAAGACCACACCTCTCATGGCTTCAATTTCCCATCTTTAAAATGGGAACAATCATGTCTCCCTGTCCTCCTGGGAGTGCTGTAAGGACTAGTAGCTAGTAGACTGGATGGTGGCTTTCAGATTGCTTGAAGAAGTTGTAGAGGTTTCTTTAGTTATCCAAGGGCTGCTTTGAGAGAGAGAGGGAGAGATCCCAATCCAGCTTTAATCAGAACGACTCCCACTGGATCATTTTTTTACACATGGGGGTTCCATATCAGATGGGCAAAATGAATGAACTGAGAAAAAGATAAAAAGTCATTTGTCTTAGCAAGATGAAACATACTTGGTACTGTGGACACACCTGTCCAAAAGAGACACAGGTACGCTATAGGCGTACAGGTGTGCTATAGGTTTATAGGTACACACAGCTATACAGGTGCACAGTGCACTGCCTAGGTTCCTCTTGTGATTTTTAGAAAATATTTTATTTATTTATTTGAGAAAGAGACAGAGAGACAGGAAGAGTATAAGTGGAAGAAGGGGCAGAAGGAGAGGGAGAAGCAGGCTCCTTGCTCATCAAGGGGCTCAATCCCAGGCCCCTTAGATCATCACCTGAGCCAAAGGCAGACACTTAACCAACTGAGCCACCCAAGCGCCCCTCCTTGGTTTTTTGGTTTTTAAACTTTGAACCTTGAGATTGTAGGTCTAAGAGATGCCCTCTGGTCTCCTCCTGGCCAGAGGAACTGCAGTGCTGGGGACAGAGGCTAATTTGCATCTCAAGACTAAAATGAGGCATAAATCAATACAATGTGGGCAACTCTGTTGTTTCCAGAATTTTTTTCTCCCCCTTTGGTAACATGCATAGTATCTATGTGGCAGTGGTGCAGCAGTCAAAACGCTCGAGTTCTGACGAGCTGTGTGATCTCAAGCAACACGCCTCCTCTGTGGCCTATTTTGTTTTATAGTGACACATGTTCTGTTTTGCTTTCAATATAGAGAAATACAGAAAAAAATAAAAAAGGTCCCAAAACCAACAGCCCAGTAATCCTTATTGATGTCAAAACAAAACAATAGTGGTGTTATGAAATTCAAACAGAACAAATTGAATTTTTTCTTGTGATTCTTCCCAGAAAAAAAAATGCATGCATGTTCCAATATATGCACTTACATCTCTAGATATTGTAGAATTTTACACAAAAGATCTTCTTTTACACCTGACCCTTTTCCTTAATGACTGTCCTGGAGGTCCCTCCTTGTTGCCTTATGTGGGCCACTTTATTTTCATAGTCCCACTTAGGAGTGGATCCTGACCTGGCCTGCAATATCCCATCAGTGGACCTCTGGCTGTTTTTTTTTTCTTTGGCAGTTAATGATCAATGCTTCAGTGAATTTATTTGTTCACACTTCTTAGCAAAATTTTCAAAGTTTATATCCAAAGGATGAACTCCTGGCATGGAATTGCTAGGTCAAGGAATACAGGCATTGAGATTTGCATAGGGCATGTGAAATTATCTGGGGTCATTTGTCCTCTGTCAAATAAGATGATTCAAACAAACCAGGGGACCTGTGAGGAAGCCCTGTAATTTAATGTGTGTGTGGACAATCCGCCCCCCCCCCGCCCCGCCCAGTGCATGTTCACTCACACAGCCCGTCACTCTAACTGGGAATGCCACCTGCCCAAGTAACAGATGCTGTAGGCACATGTGGTGTGTATACACTCTCTCCTCATGACTTCTCTGGCCAGCAGGTTGATGGGACTGCCCCAGGGGGAAAGGAATCCATAACAACTGCTCCCTCCATCACCACGGAGACCATATCAACCACCATGGTAAGTAGGACCCAAGAGACTCCCCTCTCTGACCAACCCCCTTGCCCTAAAACAGCCAGATAACAAAATCACATCATCGGCTGTCTAGGGAAGTCCTTATCTGCCCTCCCTGCATCAGGCATGGGATAGAGAGTCAAAGGCTTATTGTCTGGCACCATCGTTACCACAGAACATCTGGTCAGACCCTAGTTTTCCAAATAATGTGGGAGGTGGACACACTGAGTCTCAGTTATCCAGACCATGTCAGCCACAGCAGGGGTAAAGGGAGGATTACCATTTGATTATTTGATTATTGGCAATGCATGACGATTATGCTAAAAAGTCCTCCCTGACAGCCCCTGGCAGCTGTCAGTTTCTCATGTCCCGAGTCACTTCCTTGCCTTGGTCAGTAGATGGCGCGCAGTGAACCTAAATTGGTAGCTCAAGATTTTGGACCATCTCCCTAGACTGGTTCCACTATCTACGTGCTGTCTGACCTGGTGAAGGAAGGTCCTTAGCCTTGGGTGTCTTCATCTGTAAAATGGGAATAATCCCTATTCTGCCTAGTTCAGGGGTTCTTTTTTTTTTACGATTTTATTTATTAGAGAAAATGCACAAGAGGGGCACAGAGGGAGAAGGAGAAGCAGACTCTGTTCAGCAGGGAGCCCCACACAGGGCTTGATCCCAGGACTCTGAGATCATGACCTGAGCCGAAGGCAGACGCTTAACCAACTGAGCCACCCAAGTATACCCTGGACTCACAGGTTAAGAGGGTCCAGTAACATCAGATCCTTTAATGATGACACAGACCAGATAGCATTGGGCACCCAGTCTGTGTCGCCATGCAAACTGCCAAGAACCATGAATGGGAGTGATTTCACTGAGTCCTCACAAAAACTGGAGGGTATTGACTTTTCTGCACCCTTTACAGATGAAGAATCTGCAGTGCAGGGAGGTAAAGTGACTTCCTAAGGTCCCACACCTAATAAGTGGTAGAGTCAGATTAAACCCAAGCATTGTGACCCCAGAAGACTCACTGTGCACCTCCACCACCCTGCACCCTCATCCTGACCACTGAGAACACTGGCTGCTGGGGGTAGGATGGGGGGCTGGATCTGTCTTGAGCCGGTGGAAAGTTGTTTTCTTTTTTTTTCTTTTTTTGGAAAGTTGTTTTCAAATGCTTTCTCTTGCCAAACCCCTGATATACACATAGGAAGGGAATTGCATTTAGATTACCTGGCAGGTAGGTTTTGAGTAAACAAAGACAAATAACTCTGAACCGGTTACCAGCTCGCACCCTCTTTCCTGGTTGCTCAGTCCCATCTGCTCCCCAGTCCTTCTCCACTGGCATTAGGATGCTTAGAGGGCTAAGTTTAAGTCTGTACTATGATGAGTAGGCAGTTACATCGTTCATTTACCCACCCGCCCACCGACCCATCCATCTAGCCATTCATTTCTTCCAAAAACATTTCTTAGTTTCTGATACAGAATACAGAGTTGAAGAAAATATGCTGCCTGTTGGAAATCGTCTGTTCAAGTAATGATCAGGGGCACGTGTCACCGTTTAGGTCCTGGGCACACAGTGGTGAACAAGGCCCAGCTCTCCCACTTGCTAGCGGGATGACCCCTGGGCAAGTTACCTCTCTCAGTTTCTACTTCTGTAAACTGGGGTGATGGGGGCAATAATAGCACATCCCTCAAAGGGATGACCCGAGGATAGACCAAGGTAATCTGTGCAGAGGCATGCCTGGCACGTAGTAAGGGGTCTGGCAATGTGAATTGATGTTCTTTTTCCCTGCCTTCCCAGAATGGTGTAATAATGCCTTCTGAGGAGCACAGGGAGGAGAGGTATGGGGGTGACACCCCTGACAGGAGGAATGAGAAGGCTTTATCCCAGCAATGACATTTGAGCTATCCTTCAAGGATAAGTGACTGTGCAGCCACAGCGGGAGGCATCCGAGGCAGTGAGGACAGCAGGTGCAAAGGCAGGGATGGGAGGGAATGTAGCATTTGGGGAAAGGCAGGTGGTCAGTAAGGCAAGATGTCAGGAGTGCGGAAGAGGAACAGGGGGAGAAGAGGCTGGAAAGGCAGGCTGGGCCAGGGTTGAAGGACCTCAGATGTCATGTAGGAGGTTCAGACTTCGTCCTCAAGACCCTGGGGCATCACTTCAACTTTTGAAATGGGGGCATGATGTCATCAAATATGTGCTTCCGTGCTTTGGAAAGATTGCTCTAGCAACTGTGTGGGATGTCACTAGAGAAAAAACCCCCTCCTCTCCTCCCTCCCTCCTTCCTTTTCCCTCAGCAAATAACTTGTTGAACACTGTGTGATATGCAGTGCCAGGTGCTCTGAAGCCAGCAAGGAGGGAAACAGTGTCCTGAGCCCACAGACCACTGGGAGAGACAGAAAGAGAAGGCAGGGAGCTAGGCAGGGCTGGTGTGCAAGGAAGTGGATACTGAGCAGGGGGAGGGAGGTGCAGGGTTTGGTCATGGACAGAATGTTCAGGCAACAGAAGGAAAGGTGGGCTGGTGACCTAGCCCTCACTTAGCCATTCTTTTTTCTTTTTAAAGATTTTTTAAATTTATTCATGAGAGATGGAGAGAGAGAGAGAGGCAAAGACATAGGCAAAGGGAGAAGCAGGTTCCCAGAGCAGGGAGCCCGATGCAGAGACTCAGTCCCTGACCCCAGGATCACGACCTGAGCCAAAGGCCAACAATCAACCACTGAGCCACCCAGGTGTCCCTCACCTAGCCATTCTTGAAGTGCAGTCCTAGAAACCATTAGAAAAGCAGATCTCTGCCCCACCTCCCACCTCAGACCTATCAAATCAGAAGCTCTGGGACAGGGCCCAGCAGTCCATGGTGCCCCTCAAGTCTGAGAGGCACTGATGTAAACAGAGAACAGTGGAGGGGATTGCTCTCTAATGGCAGGTATGCATCAGGAGTGGGGAGGAGGCAGTGGATTCCATGTTGGACCCGATGAGCCCAAGGTGTCTGTGGGACATTTCCAGGGCAAAAGTTCTGAGGAACAATTGGTTTTTCAAAGTCTAGGTTTCAAGAAAGATCTGGGCTGTAGATAAAGAGATAGGGCCAGTGGCCCTGTGAGCAAGCCTTGAATGGCAGAGGCAGCCCAGAGAGAGGGTGGTGAAGAGGAGAGCCCCCAGTCTGCAGAAGGAATGGCCCCAGCGGAGATGGTGGCAATGCCCTGGGGAGGGAAGGGAGCCACACCTCCTTGAGGGTGGAGAGAGGACTGGCCGGAGACAAAGGAGAGGCAGGCAGAGCAGATGGCGCCTTGTTTTGAACAACCTATGTCCTCATTAGTGGCCTCTATTTTCTGTTTGAAGGTGGAAGTGAGACTTTGTCTGAGACAGAGGGAGCAGTGAGAGGAGAGGCTGTAGGGGAGAAATGCCTGGAGTGGCAGTAGGCTTCAGAGGGGCTAGTGACTTTCCTAAGCTAGCAGGAAGGAAGCATTGAGCCCAGAAAGCTATCCCCACCCTTTTTTTAATTGAAGCGTAGTTGACACACAACATGACATTAGTTTCAGATGTACAACATAGTGATTCGTCAACTCTATATACATTATGCTATGTACACCACAAGTGTAGCAGCCATCTGTCACCATACAATGCTATTACAGTACCACTGACTATATTCTCTATGCTGTACCTTTTCATTCGGTAACTGGGAGCCTGTATCTCCCACTCCCCTTCACCCCTGGTTGCCCATCCCCCCACCCTCTCCCCTCTGGCAACTACCAGTTCTCTGTATTTATTATCTGTTTATGCTTTTTTCATTGGCTTGTTTTGTTTTTTAGATTCCACATATAAGTGAAATCATATGGTATTTGTCTGACTTATTTCATTTAGCATTATACCTTCTAGGTCCATCCATGTTGTTGCAAATTATAAGATCTCATTCTTTTCATGGCTGACTAAAAACATTATATATATAATATCACATCTTGCTTATCCATTTATCAATTGATGGACACTGGGGCTGCTTCCATAATTTGGCTATTATAAATAATGCTGCAATAAACATAGGAGTGCATATCTCTTTTCAATTAATGTTTTTGTTTTGTTTTCTTTTTTTTTTTTTTTTAATGTTTTTGTTTTCTTTGGGTACATACCCAGTACTGGAGCTACTGGATCATATGGTACTTCTATTTTTAATTTTTTTGAGGCACCTCCATACTATTTTCCATAGTGGCTGCACCAGTTTGCATTCCCACCAACAGCACACAAGGGGCCCCTTTTCTCCACATCCTCATCAACACTTGTTTCTTGTTGGTTTGATATTGGCCTTTCTGACAGGTGTAGGGGGATATCTCATTGTGGTTTTGAGTTGCATTTACTTGATGATGAGTGATATTAAGCATCTTTTTGTGTCTGTTGGCAAGGCTGCCCTTTATAAGGTCTGCTGCTGGGCCACACTCTGGGACTCCATCTGAGAAAGTTGCTCATTGGGGAATGCCAGGCAACAGATCACTGCCTCAGTTGTAGGCAAGCACCATGCAGGATGGGGAGTAGGCAAGACAAAGGCAGAATGCTTCTGTCCTTACCTGTCCCCTGGCAGCCAGAGTTTCAGATATAGTACCATGCACAGACCAGGATCAGGGTTCAGCCTGCTAGATGGCTGCAGAATAGATGCAGCTCTGGGCCCTTGGACAGACAAGGGTGAGCCCAACATGGTGCAGAAAGTAGGAGGTAGAGGCAGGCTGCCAGGCTCCCTGCCAGATGTGGGGCAATACATCTGGCCAATCCAGGAGTATCTAGCAGCTAGAATCCACCATAGGACAAGGAGAGCTGCTCCGGGGTAAGAGTTCCTAAGGCAAAGTAGTGTTGCCATAGTGTTACACATTGGGCTTGGAGTCTGATGAACATGGGTCTAAATCCAGGCTCTGTCACTAACTTGCCAGCAGACTTGAATAAACCACTTGATGTTCTCTGGCCTTCCCATTTCTCAACTGTGAAATAGGAATATTAAAACAATTTCCTGTAGTTGTTCCAAGGATTAAATGAAATAGTGCATCCTTAGCAAAATACCAAGCACTTAACAAATACCCCGAAAACAGTAGGTATTACAATGTTATTAGTAGCCAGCCTATATTCATATGTTTATCCTAAGATTGGCATTTGCAAAGCCCTTTCTCCTCTGCTAACCTCATAATGTGAGTCACTGTGGGAGTTGAGCAGGGCATCTTTTTTTAAAAAATGTTAAAGACTTAGTATTTTAAGAGCAGTTTATTTTTTAGAAGTTTCACAGGACAATTGAGAGGAAGATACCCCATATGCTCCATATATGGGGGATATATACAGAAAGATTTCCCATCTGCCCCCCTACCCCTGCACACACACAGCCCCCCTCCATCCCCATAATCAACATCCCCTGCCTGAGTGGGGCATTTGTTCCCATTGATGAACCAACATTGCAGGGGTCTCATTTTATAGGTAAATCCATAAGGCCCATAGAGCAGAAGTGGCTCTGCCCCAGCTCAGGTGGCTAGAACATGGCAGCGCCAGGACAAGAACCTGGATGTCTCCACCCCTTTGTTATTGCTTCCTGAGAGCAATGCTGTGTCTTGTTCACCAATGTCCCTAACCCCAGGCACTCTACATGTTGAATGAGTGAATAGGTGAGCAAGTGTGTAAGTGTGTGAGCAAGTGAGAAAGTATGAGAGCAGGTGTGTGGGTGAGCATGTGAGTGCATGACAAATGTCACTCCTCAACCTTGTGGCCATGAGAGCTACTTGGCCATGTGCTCTGGCCATCCTGGGGGCCCACCCACATGAGATCTGGCCATCTGAGCACTATTGTTTCCCCAGGAGAACAGTCTCAAGTCCGGGAAGGGGGCAGCTGCCATGATCCCAGGCCCACAGACGGTGGCCACGGAAATCCGTTCTCTTTCTCCGGTAAGTGGGTAGGGCCAGCTCAGGCTAGGGGACTCTGTGCTGAGAATATGGTCCACAGGTGGCCCACAGCAAGTGCAGCGTAGAGCCCAGTGGGCTGCCCTTTTAAGTACAGTGCTAGGAAACTGGATCGTTTCCAGATGCCCACAGGGCTCCCTTCTCCCCACCAAAGTCTCATCCGTTGCCTCCACCCCCCACATACACACACCAGAGGGCATTGTGATGTGAGGGTGAAGCAGCCCCTCTCCTTGTGGTGCCTGTGATGTGACAGCTCATTTGCATCTTCTCTCCTGACTATCCAGGAGGAGAAATGGACTAGGAGTCCAGAGGCTTGCACTCTGGACATGGCTCTGACAATGGCTCCCGTGAGCCTGAGTCTGTCACCGTGAGGTCTCTTGCATCTCCTGCATTCTCCAAGTCTGTCCTTCTTATTGTCTAGCCCTGGAGACGTGTTCCCAGCTCTGAGGGGGTGGGGGCTTGGGAGGGCTCTGTTTCCACCCTGGATCCCCCATTCTCTCTTCTCAGATGCCAGGATTCTTAAGTTCTGGGGTCTTGTTAGGATTCTGGGCCTCATGCATCTCAGGTTCCAATGGTTTGAGAATTTCATGGATCTAGCATTCTGAAGATTCCATTATTCCTGAATTCTTAGAATCAGTGATTTGAAGCATCTTGGCTTCCAAACTCCACCTTCGTGGGGCCCCTTTGGTTTACCCCCCCAACCCCGCCTGCAGAGCCCAGTGTCCTTACCTGACACCTGGGGTGGGGGGTGGTTATATTCTGCAGATCATCGGGAAAGATGTCCTCACCAGCACCTACGGCGCCACCGCGGAAACCCTCTCCACCTCCACCACCACCCATGTTACCAAAGTGAGTAGCAGCAGGGCACTGTCTGCCCCCAGCCTGGCTGTGGGGCTGGGGAACATCATTGCCATTGCTGTGCCTTGTAACGTGGACAGAGACCTGTGGTGTTCTAGTTTCTGGAGTGCTATGCACTTTGTTCTATACTACGGGTTGTCCTCGGCACGTACCCTGCCCTTCAATGTTGACAGCCAGGCTGGGGGAGCAAGACCACCTCACCAGAAGTGATTCTGAGCCATGGCATTTGCGCCTTATAGACCTTAAGTGCTGGCAGCATTTAGAAGGGGGTGATGTAAGGAAGCCTTAAAGAGTGAAGTGGGGTCTTCTGGAAAAAGTGGGATTTTTGCAGGGTCTTAGGAAGCCAGGTAGGCCTCGTGAGGGAGGAGAAGACAGATGCAGACATTCTAAGCAATGCAGAAGACGGGAGCAGAGACTGCATATTTGTTTATTTGTTCGGTGAGTGGATGTTAGTGAGCATCAACCTTATGCCCACCTCGGCACTAGGGATCCTGGTGGTGGCCACAAGTGATGCGTGTTTGTGGGAACAGAAGCAGTGGTCTCCATCAGAAAGAAATAGCATGTAGGAGACATAGCTGTGGGGAATTGGGGTGGACTTTTGGCAGGGGAAGCAAAATTATAGGCAAATGAGACAAATTCCAGGACAGATGTGACTATGAGGGGTCTAAGAGCCATTGGAACACTGTTAAGGTTTTTTAACTGGGGAGTGACCCAGTACAAAGGGGTTAAAGCAGAAGAGATTCAGTCCACCAGGATGTGCAGGTAGATGGGGGAAAGAAGAGAGAGAAGCATGGAGTGACCAGGGATGAAGGAACTAGACCAGGGGTATGAATCAGAGTGGGGGACAGAAGAGGTAGGGCCATTGGACTGTCTTTCCCTGCCAGTCAGCTGCAACTCAGCCAAGGAGCACAAGGGGCTGAAGACAGGCTGACAAGCAGATCCATGCCTGCATGGCCAAGAGGAAGGCGGGAGGAGGCCCAGGCCAAAGATGGAGGCCTGGAGGAGAGAGGCCAGGGAGGCAGGTTGAGGTGGAGGTTCTGAGCCATCCAAAGAAGTCTGCTGGTAGCCCTGGCCCTCCTGCACAAACCCTGTCCCAGCCCTGCTCCCTCCTATGCAGGCCTCGCACCTTCCCTAGAAAGCACCCACTCTCACCGAAAGCATCTGTGAGCAATGTTGACTTCACTGAGAGTTTTGTGGGAAGGTTTTCCGTTACACACCTCACTGCATACAGCTCAGAAAACTCCTCTTCCCAGAGTCTCTCTCCCTCCCAACCAGGAGCCCTCTTCTTTCTGTCTGCTCCCGGCTCCTGCTGGGATTTCCCTCAGCTACCACCCTCCTTGGTATGCCAAGCAATTAGGTCCTTCCCCATCTTCTACTTCTAAACTTGCACCCAAACCCAGCCCTTGCAGAAAACGGTGGAGGTTATAAGTGTCACCAATGCAATTTTCTCTTGTAGTATTGTTTGAAGTCATTTAAGATAGAACTTTGTCACCATTCACATTTCATTCATGTGTTCATTCAACAAATCTGCATTTAGCACCTGCCCTGGTCAGATTGGACAGGGGAGAAGGGTAAGAAGGGATACAGAAATGAACAAAACATAGCCCCTGTCCTCAAGATCTCTAGCCTACTGAGTTAGGCCAGGTCCACACATACAAGGTCAGCACAAGGCAGAGAGCCCCAGACACCACTCAAGAGAGACCAATTTGGTGCTCAGGGAGTACCCAGGCAGGAGGGGGGCAGGGTCACCAACCAGGATTAGGGAGACATTACTTGAGGTGGGCTTGGAAGACCTAGAAGGGGCCAGTTGATAGGTGGGGGAGTGGTGACAGCGGGCAAGACATGCAGTCTAAAGTTCCACAACCAGAAGAGGGAGCCAGGAGAGAAGGTGACTGCTGGTTCCAGCCTCGCCCTTGAGGGGTGCTTTGGATGGGTGCCCTATCACACCCCAGCAGGACCCAGGGCTGACCTTGCCGCCCTCTCACTCTACAGACTGTGAAAGGGGGGTTTTCTGAGACGAGGATCGAGAAGCGGATCATCATCACTGGGGATGAAGATGTTGATCAAGACCAGGTATGGGGGTAGGGAACACTGTTCCCAGTAGCCTTATCCAGTCACCAGTCCCTCCCATATTGGGTCACCCATGGGCAGCTGCCTGATGGGCAGAGATGATGGCCACTTCATGCTGACCCTGTTCAGACAAGGAGCCCCAAATAAGCCCCAAAGGAAGGGACATAGAATGGGAACCAGAAGGAGCCAGAGGACCAGAGCTGTAGTCTCTCCCTTTAACTGTTTGACTGCTGCCCCTCCCTGGGCCTCAGTTTCCACAGCAGTACACTAAGGGGTTTTTGGTCTCCACGGTTTCTCCCATATTCCATATCCTGTGGTTCCTCACTTTTTTGCTTTTTTCTACCAGGCCCTGGCTTTGGCCATCAAGGAGGCCAAACTGCAGCATCCTGACATGCTGGTAACCAAAGCTGTCGTATACAGAGAAACAGACCCATCCCCGGAGGAGAGGGATAGGAAGCCGCAGGTAAGCCCTCTGAGGCTCAGCAGCCATGAGAGGGAGCAGGGAATGTGGTAAGGTCTTCTGAAGGTCATTTCCATCTGAGAGTCCATCAGGTGGCTTGCTCCCTATCACAGCTTTAATCTCCCATGTTCCTGGTTTGTGGCCCAAAGGAAAGAAGTAGCTCCTCCAAGTATAACAAGTCAGAGTAGGAAGTGGGAGGGGGAGGAAGACTGGTTCCTTAGCTTATTGGGGGTTTCAGGCTCCAGACCCAGAAAAGTAAATCTGGGAATGATAAGAACAGGGAGAGAAGGTTGATAGCAGTGCTGTGGTGGGACAGGTGGAGACAAGCATAGCCTCACTGGCCATTACCTAGAATTTTGAAGCCAGAAAAAGGTCCCTCAGACCTAGCACCACATCCCTGTCCCTGAATCTCTGCCTCCATCACAGATCACTGGGTGTTGCAAAGGGGGAATATGATGACCAGAGTTCCTGATCTCATCTGTTTTGCTAGATTGCAAACCCTTGATTTCTCAGGCTACCTTGGACCAGAAACTTACTTCTCTGTTTCCTTATGGACAGACCTCAGTGCCCTGCTGAACAAGAGGAAGGAGATGGTGCTATAGCAGATAGGGCTTTTATTAGCCTAAACTGGGGGAGGGGTTCCTCTGGTCCCTCTAGAAATTAACTGAATTTTATCAGACCTATAAAACAAAACTCATAGACATTGAGCAGAGTAGTACATAATATGATTCTACTCATAGAAAGTTCAAAAGTAAGCAAAACTAATCAATGATGCTGAAAGAACAGTGCTTAGTTCTGGGATGTGATATTGATAGGGAGGAATCACAAGGGAACCTTTTGGGGTGCCGGAAATATCAGCATCTTGATCTGGGTAGGTCATGTGGGTGTGTACGTATATAAAAATGTGTGGAGCTACTTGGATTTGTGTTCTTTACACATTTTGAACTTTGTACCACAATAAAAAAAAAGAACTCATCTCAAAGACCCCTACAAGCAGTAGATCTCCTTTTTGCCCTCTTCTCTAATGAATGAAACCGTGTTTTCTAGAAAGATACAAGAATGTGGATCACCACTCCTTTGCTGTCAGAAGAAAAAGCACTGATCCATTTCCTTGCCACTTTTTTTTAAAGATTTTATTTATTTTTATTCATAAGAGAGAGAGAGAGAGAGAGAGAGGGGCAGAGACACAGGCAGAGGGAGAAGCAGGCTCCATGCAGGGAGCCCGACGCGGGACTCGATCCCAGGCCTCCAGGATCATACCACATTCCCCAGGCTGAAGGTGGCACTAAACCGCTGAGCCACCCGGGCTGCCCTTCCTGCCACTTTGAAAGGCTGCCAAACCCTGGTCTAGACTGTGCTGTCCAACAGAACTTTCTGCAGCCATGGAAATGTTTTCTTTGTACCATACAACACACGTTGGCTATTGAGCACTTGAAATTGGCTAATCTGAAATCAGACGTGGTTTAAGGGTAAAATGCATGCAGAATTTTGAAGACTTAATATGAAAAGGGGCATGCAAAATATCTCAATAATATTTATATTGTTTACATGTTCCAGTGATAATGTTTGGATATATTGGGTTAAGTAAAATATATTACTAAAATCAACTTCCCCTTTCTTTTTTACTCTTTTTAAGGTAATTTAAAATTTAGAATTTTAATTTAGAAATTAAAATTTTCTATCTAGAAGATTTAAGGAAATTAGAGATATCTAGAAAATTTAGCAAATATTGTCTAGAAAAATTTAAATTCTGTATGTGGGCTCCCATTCCTATGTCTGTTGGACAGCACCACCCTAGAAGTATAAGCTGGTCATGGGCAGAGCCTACCTCCCAGCCTTCCTCAGACTTTCATGCAAATTGTCACTCCTGTTTCCTCAGTTGTCCAATCATTCTTACCGTTCAGCCCCCGGATCTCAGAGTGGTAAGGCAGGGCACTCGTCACGCTAGTGCTGAACTGGCAGCATTGCCTGGGGAGTACAGATAATAGAGAACTGTTGTTATAAAATCTGATTCAGGGGCAGCCCAGGTGGCTCAGCGGTTTAGCGCCAACTTCGGCCCAGGGCCTGATCCTGGAGACCCGGGATCCCTGCATGGAGCCCGCTTCTCCCTCTGCCTGTGTCTCTCTCTGTCTCTGTCTCTTTCTCTCTGTCTCTCATGAATAAATAAATAAAATCTTCTAAAAAAATCTGATTCAGAACAGCCGGACTGGACCTGGGGGTCTTTATTTATATGTTGGTCCTTAGGGAGTCCATATGCACTGATGCAAAGAATTCTATGCTGGGAATCCGGGGACCTGGCTCCAACCCCCCTCTTCCCCCATGGACACTCATTTTCTCATTTGCAAAACCAACAGATGGGGCAAGTCCCTTCCAGTCATGGCCTTCTGGTTGTTTATTCGCTTTCTTGGAGTATCTGTCACGTGTTTCTCATATTTTCTCCTCTCCCTATCTTGTTCCTTCCCATCTTTCCCAGGGCATTTCCAGCCAGTCCCCCAGGCTCCTCCCTTCCCATTCTCCCTGACCACTCAGAACTCTTGCCCCTGCCTCCACATCCTGGCCATTCCCCCACCACACACACACACACACACACACACACACACACACACACACCACAGCCTTCCACATCTGCCTGCTTGAAGGATCTCGTATGGAAGGGGGGCCTTCTTACCCCTCTTTTAGTTCTTCGTTCTTCCTTTGATTCCATTCTCCCACATACCACATTCTCGCTCTCCCTCTCCCTCTCCCTCCACCCCCGCTCCTTCTCTCTCTCCCTCTCTGTCTCTCCTCTCCGTCTCCCTCTCAGATTCTTCTGTAAAGGTCACCTTGTTCATGTCACCCTGGAGAGACAGATGTTTCTCTCTTGCCTTTTCTGCCCACATGCTTTACCACTAGTTACTGCCAAGTAGGAATCATCTTTGACCCCTAATGCAGTCAGACTCACTCATGCTAGGGGAGAAGGCTTCTCAGAATATGAAAACTCTTTTTTAAAGAGCTTGAAACATGTTGGTTTGATGGATGGATGCATCTTGGTACCCCCAGGAAAGATCTGGAACCCTGCAAACCTGGATTCGAATCTCAGCCCTGCTTGTTATTAGCTGTGTGACTCCCAGCAGATTATTTATCTCTGCATTTTGTTCATTGGCTAGCAGTCAGCAACCGTAATCACAGTGATAACAATTGCTGAAATATATGAAACCTTTACACTGTTCCAGGCACCAGGCTACGCACCTGACATGAGTACTGTCATCTGCTTATTCAACTCAGCCCTGAGATGTTAGATGACTTGCTCATAGCTATGTGGCTTGATAAGGGAGTCAGAGCTCATTCGTGAGACTCCAAAGCCACACTATGGTTTTTACCTCCTTATCCCATAGGATTAGTGAGATCACACACATACAGTAGTTAGCACAGTGCCTGGCACATAGTAAGTGCTCTGGAAAAGCTAATGATGACTATGATTGCTATCAACTCAAAGGAAGCTAACAAAACCCTGCACATTTGGACTTTGATGCAATAAACTGAGAAGAATAAATTATAATATGGTATCATTTAGGTGTTCCTGGCATTTCTGAAGTGTCTGTAGGCTTTTAAAGACATCTTACATCATGTTTACACTGAGCTATGGGACCTAAAGTGCAGCCTGCACTGTAAAAAAAATAATAATAATAATCCTCAGGTAATTAGAATTCAGTAGAAAGAACACACCAACGCATTGGAGCCAGAAGCTCCTTTCTCCAGAGTGCCCAGAGGAACCTCCCTGGGCCTCAGTTTCCTCATCTACAAAATGAAGTTAATCTATAAATTAGAGCTGCTACAATAAGTAAAATCTATGAGTGTCTTTGTTTGGGCTGCTATGACAGCAAACCATAGATGGGGTGGCTCAAACAGCACACATTTATTTCTCATGATGATGGGAAGTCCAAGATCAAAGTGCTAGCAGATTCCATTCCTGGTCTGCAGGTGGCTGTCTTCTTGTAGAGAAGAGAGCAGAGAGAAGGAGAGAGAGAATTTCTGTTGTCTCTTTTTATAAGGGCACTAATCCTATATATGAGCCCCCCCATCCCCTTGTAACCGAAGTACCTCCCAAAGATGCCACTGCCAAATCCCTCACATTGAGTTAAGGCTTCCACATATGAATTTTGGTGGTGGGACACAAATAGTCCATAGCAGTGAAACACAAGGACAGTCACTCACATACAGAAAGTGCTTAGCACTGAACCTGCACCCTTATCCCTGGAGGTTTTGCCGTGTTGAGGCATTCATGAGAACCCTGAGAAAGTCAGACTATAAGCTTCTGCCACCAGCCTGCTGCACAAGGGCCTGCCTTCTCGTAGGTGTCCATCTTGCCGGTCTTCAGCTTCTCTTCCCTCCCTGAATCCTCCAGAAACATGTTCAGACTCCAGCTGACTCTTCCTTCCAGAAGTTCTTCCTCTTTAAAGTTCTTGCTGTGAGTGTGGAAAGCACACCTACTCACAGACAACACACAAGCCAATTGTGTGGTTTCTGCTCCCTCTTTTCCCACTGGCCCACCTCATTCAGACAGGACCTGTCTCCTGAAATCTGCCAGCAAGGGGATGGCCCCTCCCAGCTTCCTATCTTCAAGATTCTGAATAGTAGGAGAAAACACTGACCTGTTTCAAAGCTATAACCTTGGGTTCTAGTTTCATTTCAATCATCAACTCATTGGGACATTGAACCCTCTGATCTCTATTTTTCCCATCTGTCAAATAAACTGAGAAGAATTTTGTGTATATGACTCCATTTGCACTTGACCCCATGTGAGTGGTAAAGGGCAGGAATGATACTCCACCTGTTAAATGGTCTGAGGTAATTACTATCTACCATGCACAGTGCTGACCACTGGAAAGACAAAGATAAGTAAAAGCAGCCATTGCCCTCAAGGAGATCTAAATAGCTAAGTTAACAATAGCAGTAGTAATAATAATAATAACATTGGTATTTGTTCAGCACTTCCTGTTTGCTAACCCTGGTTTCAAACACTTCCTGCAACTGCATTAGGAAGCACCCATTCTTACAGGGGAGGATGTGAGGCCTAACAAATTTAAGAAACTCCCCCAAGATTGTAGAGCTAGTAGGCCACAGAATGGGATTCAAACTCAGGCAGTCTGATTGCAGAGCCCCTGCCCTTAACCACAAAATTTTGGAATCAGACTTGAGCTGGAATCCAGGCTCCAGTTTCTTTATTGAAATACAGCCCCTTGGAGTTTAATCCTCAGGACACACAGACCCATGAAGATCAAAGAAGAAAATCACAGAGGGTCTGCAATCACAACCAAACAGCTCTTAGAATGAGAGGAGGTAGGAAGAGAAGGTGAACCACATGTGATCCGAGCTGCTTAGTGTTAAAGGAAACCTGGACAGATTTCCAGGTGGAAGAGAAAGATACCACCTCCCCGGAAACGAGCAAATGGCTATGGGCTTTGGGTTCAGACAGAGGTGGCTTCAGGTCTCAGCTGCCTCTTATAAGCTGTGTGGCCTTGGACAAGACACTCTGTCTTCCTGAGCCATAATAAAGGGCACACAGGAAAGGTAGCTAATACAACCTTTTGCCACATATTTAAAGATGAGTGACAAAACTTTATTAATTTTTCTTGTCCTCTTTGTGTCCCCTTCCCTCCATGCCTCTGTTCTAGGAATCCTGACCTCTGTGAAGAGATGCTGGCGTTTCTGGTCCAACCCAAGCCAGAGAACCATTAAGAAGGGGCCTTCATTCTGGATTCTCCGACTCAACACCGAAGTCCCAGCTGTGATGTACTGTCACCGAAGAGGGACTGGGAAAGGAAAAGCATATATATATAGATATATATAGATATAGATATATATACAGGAAACACCGCGTCCTTGCACTGCTGCTGGGGCTGGCCGTTTGGCCAGCAGCAACAACCAACATCTGAATGCCTACATTTCCTTTGCAGACAAATTGAAGAATTGGCGGGATTTTTCAGGAAAAAAAAAAAAAATATATATATATATATATAATGACAATAATCTCTCACTCCCCCTTTCAAAGCCCTGCGGAACGACAAAAGCAAGCCAGACCACAATGATTGTAGGAGTTCCATACGACCCTGGTTCTGCACGTTACATCGAGTAGACACGAGCATTCCATTTGTCCTATGGCGTGTCCTGCCCACTCCAATGCAAAGGAAACACTTTTGCAGCAAAGCAAGAGAAGTCGCAGCAGCAAGACATGCACCATCAACCATTTGCTGAGAAAAGAAAGAAAATCCCGCACTCGGAAAGGAGGAGGAACACTGGATTATTATTTTTTGGGTCTTGACACTGGGCTGCAAAATCCACCTTCCTTTCTCCTGACTCCCCTCCCCCTCAACTCACACGTCTTGTTGTCATTTCTGTCTCGGCTCTCCCCTCTCCCTCCCCCACCCTCTGTATCCCGGCCCTGCCAAGGGCCGCTGCAGATGACTCTGGTTTGAAACAAGGAAAAGGAAAGAAAGCAAGAACAGACAACCCAGCCACAGGAAGGAAAGTAGACATTGTATGTTTATGGGTTCTCATTATGAAGGTGCAGCTTGTAGGAGATGTGTATGGATGTGCTTTTAAGTTATGTATATTACATATAACAGGAAACAAATATTAAAATAAACAGTGCTGGTAAGTATGAAGCTGACATTTTAAAATTATAATTATCCAACTGTGATTGGTGTATCCCAAGGTTCTTAGATCTCACTGAACCAACCCAGCCAAGGAGACCTGGACTCTGGCTGTGGGTTGCTCACAGTAGGAGCTGATGGTTCAGCGTAGTAATACAATGTGTGGTATTTGTAACTGGTTGATTGGTGGGGAGGGGTGGGGTCCCCAGACGGAGGGGCAGGGGTTTGGCAAGAAGGAAGAAACACAGATGTAGTCCAAGATGCCTCCCCACCCCCCTCGGGCAGTAGCCACCAGGGCCTGGTCTGTGCTCAGGTGTGGGGTCCAGAGTCAGGATTCTGCTACAGGGGTCCCCTGGCTCAGCCCCCATACCTCCCTAGGGGGTTTGCTTCGATTTTCAGTCTTCTCTTTTTTTGGCCACATGTCTTTTCCCTGACCACAATGTGACAGCTGACTCCCCTTTCAAAGAGATGTGACACCCCTGGCCACTGCAGAGGATGGTGGCTTTAACCTGGCTGTCTGGAGAGCCCAGCTCGCTTTTGTCCTCTACCTCTCCCGCATTCATTCTCTTCCTCCTGGGCCAAAGCAGCTGTGGTAAGAGACTGTGAACACAGAGCAGGCCCTGATAGGTCAAACTTCATTTCCAAAGGCTTTACCTGCTCCTGAACAAGCTGAGGATGAAAGGTGGCGTTGCTCAAGAGGCTCCATCTATGTATAAGACTCTGGCTTTGGAAACCTCCCCTTTAGCCAGCATCTGAGCTCTGAGCCTGTACCCTCAGAGTCCCCGAAATTGCCTTCAGACCACAGAAGCCCTTGGAGAATACCCCATCAAACAATGGGGCTTTCCCAGGCTTGCTGGGCCGTGAGCTGCTTCCCTGTGCTCAATGAGTCCCCTTTGGAGGGAATATGTCCCCACTGCACTTTAATTTCTCAGCCCCATCGTACATCCCCAGTCCCACCTCTAAAGTCCTCATTAAATCCGTTCAACAATTTATGAAGTACCTCCTTGTGCCAGGCACTATTCTTGGACGGAAGGAGAGAATGTGGGGGAGGGGAGGGACCTGGAAGTCCTCTGAGCCAGCCTTACATCTTCAGTCATGGCTTGCCCCTCTGAGAGCATTTCCACATTCTCTCCAATTATTGGCCATTGCCCAGGGATACCCTCACACACACCCAGGGCCCAGGCTTACTTATCAGTTACCCCCAATGACATATATGCTTAGTTTGCTAAGCTGGTGCCGACCTGAGACAGGACAAGAAACCAGAACAGTGTTTGCCTCTGGGCAAAAATGGGACAGAGCAGGTAGTGAAAGCCCTGTACTTAGGGCTCAGATGGCAGCTTCAGCCACATCCACCACCACCACTCCTGCCCCCTGAGCAAAACTAGTGGCCCGCTCCAACTCCCCCCGAGTGCCACAGCTTATTGCCATGCACCAGGTTCTTTTTACAATCTTGGTGGAGAAGCCACAGAACCTCCTTTCCCACCCCTCTCAACCTGAGAGCTCCTATTCTTTCTGGGCCAAGAGCTGGGATGGTTCCACCCTTCCTGGGCCACCCGGAATTTGGCTCAGGCACCCCTGTCTCTGCAGGAACCAGGCATCCCGAGAACACTGGCCACTCCTCAGAGGGAGAATATTTGTTCTGGATTCTACACCTGTTTACAGCACCTGCATGTGTGGCTTCAGGGCAGGGATGAAGTGACCAGATTTAGCTTGTGGGCTGGCCAGGGTTTGCGGAGATCTCCATCCCATGGATGCCATGACCTTCCTTCCATGGAGAGGCAGGCAGTGCCACCAGGGAGGAGGAGAGCTGCAAAGCTGAAATCTAGGGCACTGTTTCCTCCCCATCCTCCTCTTCATAGAGAATATAGATATTTGTCTTGTCTATCTTCAACCTACTTTTCTTTTTTTTTTTTTTTCATTTTCACATTTCTCATCCTTTCTGTGCTGCCTTTCCACCCAAGAGACCATGTAGCATAGTGGAAAATGTCCTGGAGGGTATCCTGGTTCAGCCCCTAATGCACCATGTGACATTGGACTAGTCCCACCTCCCCCTCCCTCTTTGGGTCTCAGTTTCCCCATTTGTAGGATGAGCAGGATAAACCAGATGCTCTCCAGGGTCTTTTCCCAGTCTGCTGTCCTACAGATCTTCATTTTCTCTTGTTTTGCTTTCTTGGGATCTTTTCCATTTGAGGGTATAGGAAGTGCCAGGACCTGTTTCAGTTTTTGAATCCTGCAAGCACATTCCAAGACTGGCCTGCAATTGCATGAGCAACATCACTCTAAATAATTTTTTTTTCAAAAGCACCTTACCAACCAACTGCGATGCTGTCCTGTTCCTTTTTACTCACCCCCTACCTCCCCTCTTGTCCCCACGCTCTCCCTCCCACCTCAGTGCTCTGTGCTGTATGCGTGTGTTCTCTGTTCTTGTATACTCAATAAAAGTGAAATAAATGTGTTTGATGCTGAACCACAAACTGCCTTGGCATATCCCTCTCTTTCTCTCTCTCTCTGACCTTAGCTACCAGTAAAAGTTGGCATTGTGGGAAGGGCTAAAACTGGTGTGGAGAAATCCCAACCTTGAACACTTTCATTCAACACATATTTGCAGCTTCCAGTGTGGTCCATGGCTTGGGTTACGCTCTGCAGGCACAGCATCAAGTAAGACAAAGCTCCTGCCCTCCAGGAACTCTCGGGCTGGTAGAGTGCAGGAAACAGATAATACACCAGGCAAGCAATCAGAGACAATTCCAGAGTGATCAACACCAGAAAGAAAATGCACAGAGGAAGGAGATGGTCGCTGAAGAAGACCACTTTAAATAGGGTGGGGAGTTATGGTCTCCCTGAGGAGGAGCTGAGTGAAAAAGACACAGTAAAGTGAGGACCTTGAGCAAGAATGTTCTAGGTAGAAGGAACAGTAAGCATGTGGGCCCCAGGATACAGAGGGGCTTGGTGCATGGAGAAGTAGCCTCCTCTTTCTAAGAGAAGAGCACTTATATTGGGGTCTCTTCCTACAATCCTCTCCATGGGAGCCTAGTGGATAAAGTATACAGCAATCCAGCTTCAGCCTTTGCCCACTGCCACATATGTTGCCATATCCTTGTCCATGCCACCTGTCTCATTATTGACTTATGTCTAAACAGACTCTGAAAAAAAAACATATATATATGTAAAATACGATATTCTATAAGTCAAAAACTAGTGTCACGTGCCAAAGAAAGGAGGTGTTCATAAAAATAAATGCAAAAATATAAAATTGAAGACCCACAATTCATGTAAAACTTAAACTCACTCCTTGGGCTACTTGAGTTGCATGTACCACACTTTCCTTTTTATTCTACTAAGTGACTCACCCAGGCCACCTTTCTGTCTTGCCCAAAACCTCACAAGTGAGGACCACTGCAAATAATTGGGTGCATTTTCTTCCACTCTTTTTCTAGGTGTATGTATCTCTTAAGAGCTTACGTTACCTGGTCCATATCATTCTAAATACTATTTAAAACTTAAGTTCTGGGGCAGCTCGGGTGGCTCAGTGGTTTAGTGCCGCCTTCAGCCCAGGGCCTGATCCTGGAGACCCAGGATCGAGTCCCATGTCAGGCTCCCTGCATGGAACCTGCTTCTTCCTCTGCCTGTGACTCTGTCTCTCATGAATAAATAATAAAATCTTTTTTAAAAAAACCTTAAATTCTGAATGTTTCCTAGTAATTTTGAATACTAGATGCTATTTTTTTTATTTTTAAAGGTGATTCACTAAATGACACAAAATGCTGTACAGTAAGAGCAATCCTTCAAACCTCTCCAGACTCCCATCCATTGTCAGAGACAGTTGCTTTCAGGAGCTTTGTGAATCCATCCCTGAAATTTTTCCTGTATGTTTCTTTTAGCTATCTGCCACCCATGGAGTTCTGGTATAGGACACAGTTTGCAAATATTGGTCCCCACTCACCCTGGGTCTGTATCTCTACTTCCCAGAAATACAGAGTCAGCCTCTGTGTTGCTTGGGAATATTCTGGTGTTGATTTATCTAGATCAGTGGTTCTCAAATGGGGAAGGAGGAGGATTTTGCCCTCCCCCCACCCAGGGAACAGTTAGCAATGTCTAAAGACATTTTTGTTTGTCACAACTGAGGGGCACCACTGGCATTTATTGGGGAGAGGCTGCTAAACATCCTACAATCACAGGATAGCTCCCACAACGAGTCTGGTCTGATTTGTCAGTAGTACCAGGTTGAAAAACCTGATCTGGTTGGACATGTGACCCATAAGGTGAGATTCCAGGGTCATCTATAGCTTCCATGCCCATAATTCAGTGCCTTTGGAGTCTCTGAGAAGATGGTGAGCCCAGCTAGAATGGGGAGCTCTGAGACCAGACCATAGAGCTCAGTACCCAACACTGATAATAAAGAGGGTGGGGGAGGGATCTGAGCTTTTTGGACAAGAAATGGAACTGACATGACAGACTGAGATTGACATGCATGACTGTGACGGATTGAGGCCATCTCCGGTTAACTCTGCAGCAGCTTATTGTGATTAACCATGACTGCAGGGCCCGGTCTATTCTGCAACCTACTAAGAGATAAGTTCTGACTGAGACACATTGGTGTGTCTGGCTGTCACTGAGGAAGTGTGACAGACAAGCTAAGAAGCAGGAGCACGGAGCCAAGAAGAGCCAGTCAAACCTTGGTTTGCATCCTAGCTCTGCCACTCTCCAGCTGTGTAACCTCTCTGAGCTTCAGTTTTCTCTTCTATAAATTGGGAATACTAATCCCTATTTACTAGGGTTAGTGTGAGTCTTAGAAGTTACATATGAATGGCCTGCCCTATGGATTTTGGACTTACCTATCCAGTCCTCACAATCATATAAGCCAATTCTTTGGAACAAAACTCTCAATATATATTTCCTTATTGTTTCTGCTTCTTTGCTTGAACCCTGACTGGTACAGCCACAAGCACAGAGCAAGGACCCCAAATAGAAGCCATTTATTAAATATTGTTAATTAAACTTGTGATGTATGCGCACATCCAGCTGATCCTTTGTGTCTGGTTTCCTGCTAGGTGCCAGGGAAACAACGGAGAATAAGACAGGCATGTTCTCTCCCTCCAGCCACGGCCTGAGGACCCTGGATGATTATGGTTGGGGGGGGGGGGACCCACATGGTGGCCACCGTTGCTGAAGACTGCTTCTTCTCTGCCCCGCATACTGGGTTTCTGACAATCTTCTCTCGGACTGAGTGTGGTTGGAAGCTGCAACTGGGTGATACGGGGCCAGTAGTGACACTCAGGTAGAAACTGGCGGACCTGGACCATGATTGAGCATCTTGACTGTGGCTACCAGGCAGCCATGATCTTGACCCCGGCTTCAGGGACCGCGACTGATGGAGAGAGACCAAAGGACCAGGGCTGGTGGATGTGTTTCTGGAGCAGGATATGCCCAGTTGGGTAAAAGTTGTTATCCACGGTTCAGGAGTTCACACGTGTAACTTAAAAAGTAGCAAAAGGCAAAATTTTGGTGGTGGTGGGGGGGGGGACGACTTCCAGGCGCGGACCGTTCCTCCCGAGACCGAGAGTTCCGCCGGGCCGCTTTCCCGGTCGCCCCTTTCCGAGCCAAAGCACGAGGACTTCCGGTGCGTAGCCGCGGCGCGGGAGAGCGGGGAAGAGTCCGAAGCTGGTGAGTGCGGCCTCCGGGCCTGTTTGACCGTCTATGTTTTCGTCGTCTGTGTGGCCAGCCCAAGCCACCCTTTTCCCGGCTCGGGATCGTGGAGTGCCCTGAAGTGGGGCGCCTCGCCCGGACGCCCGCGCCCCGCTCTGTGGGCCGGTGGTGGGACCCCGGTGGCTCCGCAGGCCTTTTCCCCTGAGAAACCGTCACCAGAGACCCCGTCGCCAGTACTTCCTGGGGCACCCGGGGTAACCCAGCGTTTTTTCCTCACTTGAGAACTTGCGGGGTCGGAGACTCCTTGGCGGCGCCCAGTATGGTTCTGTCCGACTGTAATTTCGGGTAACATGTTTTGCCGGAACCGACCCCCTTTGTCTCATCCACAAAGCGGATATCACGTTTTTATTGAATAAATGCTCGTCAAGCATCTAGTATGTGCTAGCGCCGCAGAAAGACCCAGCTCCCACGGAGGTGACAGCCCTCTATTAAACGTATGCAAAATTGCAGCCTGGTCCCTGAAACGGAAAGGTACCAGGTGCCCGGAGAGTGCCTCCCAGGATACCTGACCTAACCCCGGGTCGGGCAGGCTTTGCTGAGGAAGTGACCGCGGAGCTAAGGTCAGAAAAATGATCTGAGGACGAGGGGAGGGAAGGGTTTTCTATTCAGGGAGCCTCCTGCTTGAGGGTTTGAAAGAGGCCACTGCGGCTGGAACAGCGAACTCCCCGGGGGTGGGGTGGTGGGGTGGGGGTGGGGGTGTGTGTGCAAGGTAAGAAACCATCGGAAGAAGTTGGGAGGGGCCAGGCAGCCTTGGCCGTGCAGGTCTTGCAGGTCGTGGTAAGAATTCTGGTTTTTCAGGAGCCAGAAGAGAAGCCATTCACATGGCATTAAGTGTCGGGGGTGACGTGCCTAGGTTGGCACTTTGAAAAGTTCATTCACTCTGGCTGTTGGATGGGGAGCAGATTGGAGGGGTGACACTTTGGGTGAGGGATAGGTGACTTGGAGTAAGGGGGTGGTGGCAAGAAGCAGATGGATGTGACTTTTTGCATTCCAGGGCATTTTTCTCTGTGCCAGGCCCTGTGCCAGCTGTTGAAGATACAATGAAGAGAATTGTGGCTGGTGGGATTGAAGTAAAGGAATGTCATTATCAAGGAGGGAACACACAGATCCCACAAGGGAAAATGACCAGTTGATGAACAGTTATTCTAAATGCAACAGTTCTTCCTTTAGCAAGTATTTATTAAGTGCCTTCTGAATTCAGGGTTGGGAATAAGAAGATGATGATGCAAATTATTTAGAGCAGCGGCTTTCAGGCTTTTTTGACTGCAGCCTACGGTAACAAATACATTTTATCTCATAACCAAGTATCCATACGAACCCACAAAACTTCAGAAGACAGTTATCTTTATTATTCATCATGTGCTTTTTAAAAAATTCTTTTCATTAAAAAATTAATGCTGGTTGAGACTCTCTAAATTGATTTCTTAACCCATTAATGAGTTTTGACTTGCAGTCTGAGGGAAAAAAAAAAAAAACCTGCTGATTTAGAGTGAGAGTCATTTGTTGTTTGGCGTTAAGATGATAAAATACACCCTTAACATTTTTGGAAACAGGCTGGTCTTCCTTTCGTCACTGTTTTGTTTTGCTTGCTTAACATAAAAAGAGTAAGAAAAATTAAACAGGTAGCTGGTTCTTCTGTTTGTGAAATTTGGGGGTCTTGTTTGTACCTCCGGCTGGGTTGGAAGTGCCTAGAGGCAGCAGTGACTGTCCTACTCCGTGGAGGTTTCACAGATCGTTGTTTCAGGCAGGAGATCTGGCACAGCTCGGGTGTGCCAGACCCTCTACAGGGATTATTTGTTGAATTGAATAGGTAAGCGTCTTGGGACCAGAAAGTTAGATAATTGTTTGGATTAAATTAGTTCGTGTTGGAACGATCCTATAAATACCACCTAGGCAGTGTCTGCCTGCCTACACGTTTTATCAGTATGTCCCTGTGGATAGTTCAGAGATGGGTAAAATAAGTGTTCTTGCTCTTTCTCTTCTAAATACTGATCCTAGGCCAGCCATGCCACCTGAATCCATTCTGGGCAAGGAGTCCAGAGTTGCCATGACTTTGGGCCTTTTGGGAAATTGTTTCACTCCCTGGGCTTTAGGTTTCTTTTTTTATGTGTAAAAGGAGAAGAGGTTTGTGGTTGAAAAGTTCTCCACTTCCCAGATATTTTGTAAATTTTAGATGCTGAGCACCCACTTTCCACCTTCTGTCCATGTCTGGAGGCTTATGGGAAACTGGGTATATGCTGAATTTAATCATCCTTCTCAACTCCTTGGGACTCTTCAGTGATATGGTTTAGACAGAGTTATAGTGTGAGACAGCCTAGGCACAGTTGTAGTTTTGACTAGCCCACCCAGGCTTTCCCTGCTTTCCTCCTCTGTTGTAAGAGAGAGATCTGAGAGCAGATCCTGAGTGGACAGTGTGAAGAACACTGAACTGGAGGGCAGGGTACCCAGGTTCTAATTTGTGTGACCTTGTGTGACTTTGAGCCTGTCACTTCTCCTCGATGTCTTTCCAGCTGTGCAGTGAGTGTTCTTTCTTGGTAAACCAGAACACAAAATCTTCTCTGAGTCTTATTTTCCTCATCAGTAAAATCGATACAGTATTGTGAGGATTAAGGGAGATAATTATGTCAAGGATCTGATTCAATCTGGCACATGTAGAATCCTCAGCAAATGAAGCATCTTTCCTGAAGTTCCAATTAACTCTGATTTCTTTCTTTTTCAGTTGTTTTGGAAGACAGGAGGGGTTCTCTTTTTGGTCACCAAGCACTGGTCCCATGGCTGCCATGCAGATGGATCCTGAGCTTGCCAAGCGCCTCTTCTTTGAAGGGGCCACTGTGGTCATCCTGAATATGCCCAAGGGGACAGAGTTTGGCATTGACTACAACTCCTGGGAGGTGGGTCCCAAGTTCCGGGGCGTGAAGATGATCCCACCAGGCATCCACTTCCTCCACTATAGTTCTGTGGACAAGGCAAATCCCAGGGAGGTGGGGCCTCGTATGGGCTTCTTCCTTAGTCTACAGCAGCGGGGGCTGATCGTCCTGCGCTGGAATGCAGTCCGAGAAGAGGTGGACCTGTCCCCAGCCCCAGAGGCTGAGGTGGAGGCCATGAGGGCCAACCTCCAGGAGCTGGACCAGTTCCTGGGACCTTACCCATATGCCACACTCAAAAAGTGGATCTCACTCACCAACTTTATCAGTGAGGCCACAATGGAGAAGCTGCAGCCTGAGAGCCGCCAGATCTGTGCCTTCTCAGAGGTGCTTCCTGTGCTCTCCATGAAGCACACCAAGGACCGGGTGGAGCAGAATCTACCTCGCTGTGGCACTGAGTGCAAAAGCTACCAGGAGGGCCTAGCCCGGCTGCCAGAGATGAAGCCCAGAGCTGGGACAGAGATCCGCTTCTCAGAGCTGCCCACACAGATGTTCCCGGCAGGTGCCACACCAGCAGAGATAACCAGGCACAGCATGGACCTAAGCTATGCCCTGGAAACTATGCTCAGCAAGCAGTTCCCCAGCAGCCCCCAGGATGTGCTTGGTGAGGAGGAACGAGATTCTTTGGGAGTGGGCCAAGGGATGGGTGTATAATAGAGAGTACACCTTAGGGAATCTAGTCCAGTGTTTCCTAAACTTGGCTGAGAAGCAATCATGCCCAGTCCTACTGGAGATTAATTCAAGAGATCTGGAGTGGGGCCCCAGCAGTATCTGTCTCTCTAAATAATAACCTAGCACCATAGGTGAACCTGATGCAGCCCATCCTGTGTTTGGCAACCATGATAGGGCCCAGCCCCTCATTTTACAGATTGAGTTTCACAGAGGGAAAGGATATGGTCAACTATGTGGTCAAAGTGAGACCAGAGCCCAGGGCTTCCCAACCTCCCATCTGCCTCCTCAGTTTGCTCCTGATTCAAAGTGTTGGTCTCTGGCTTAGACCAGGATAGTGATTTATTTTAAAAAATTATTACTGTTTTTATTGTTACTTTTCTCTGTTATTGCAAAAATAATATAAGGTCATCATAGAAATAAAACAAAAATTCACTCCCAATTCCCACCACCTAGAAATAACAATTTTTTACATTTGGCTGTATTTATTTTTCATCTTGTATCCATATGCAATGCTTCATTGTGGTTTCTTCTCTGTGTATTTCTGTGTGTTTCCCTTTAGTCCCCTGTTGATGGACCTTTAAGATGTCCCTATTTTCCCTGTTGTGTCATCTAATGAACATCCTTGTATGTACTTATACATACATTAAGAGTTGAAATTGTTGAATCAGAGCATGTGTGTTGCCAGCTGGGGTGAGGCGGTAGCCTGTCACCTCTGAAATGGCAATTTAGCAAAGGCTTCTTCCAACCGGATAGTTGGAGAATGATGTTTCAGTGTATATTTCTTTGATTACTAGTGACAGCAAATATTCATTACATCTTCAACAGCTATTTATATTTTTTCTTACACAAATTGCCCAGGTATTTGCATATTTTTCTGTTGAAAGATCAGTGAGAAATTTGAATATAGGGCCCTTTATATCATTGACTCTCTCTGATAAAAGGGCACATTTTAATGGGTGCATCTTCATGCATTATACTGTATTATCATTTAATAAGTAACACTTGAAATTCTGACTTAAAAATGAACAGAAATCCTGTTTTCTAATTCTTAAACATTTTAGTTCTTCAAAGTAATCTGGTGAAAGGTCTGTTGCAGGGATAACTTTGTATCTTCCTGACAGCTCTTTGAAATTATTTCGGATCTCCTAACTTAATTTTAGAGTAGGCCAGAAATGCATGAATTTAAGTAAATGCCCTAAATTCAGAGACTAAGCTCATATTTTCACAAACTAACCAGGTAAAGCCCACAGTAGAAGCAAATCATTAACCTCTATCATACAAAGAAAATTTGACAATATCTTGAAAATGTCAGTCAAACATCCAGTATATCTGGACCAGGCAGCTAGACAAACTTAGTTCCACAAGCCTAGGAATAGAGAACTAGTTGTTCATGTCTCTGAAGGTGACAGAGATCAAACACCATGCATTTAAAGAGCACTTAGTGTTGAGTGCATCTGTTCTTTTTATGGCCCATGTATAGGTATGATACAGAAGCCCTCCTTAAATTTGAAGCCAGAGAGAATGTCTCTGATCCACAATAGTGTATCTTGGCAACCAGAGACCCAGTTGCTTTCCCAAGGACAGTGGCTTCTGGATCATTGGGTCTCTGTTTCAGACAGGCATCTGGTGGAAATGTGGGAATAATAATAAGTAATGAATGTTTCTTTGTGCCAGGCATTATTCTAAATACTTTATGTGAAATATATTGATTCATTTAATCTTATCCATGGGCCTCAAATAAGGAAATAGAGGTATAAACAGATTGAATAACTTGCCCAAGGTCATACATCTCTGAAGAGTAGAGCCGATATTTGAACTCAGGTAGTTTGGTTTCAGAGGTCATGCTATTAGCCCCCAAGCTATTCATAGAGGTTAAATTTTTTTTAATTTATTTATGATAGTCACACAGAGAGAGAGAGAGAGAGAGAGAGAGAGAGAGAGAAGCAGAGACATGGGCAGAGGGAGAAGCAGGCTCCATGCACCGGGAACCCGACGTGGGATTCGATCCTAGGTCTCCAAGATCGAGCCCTGGGCCAAAGGCAGGCGCCAAACCACTGCGCCACCCAGGGATCCCCTATTCATAGAGGTTAAATCACAGAGCCCTGTGGTTAAACAAATGCAAATGATTTTGGCTGGCAGGCTAAGCCTGGAACAAGTACTCAAATTTTCCTCTTCTGGGAGGCTCTTTTCTTGCCCAATAGGAATTCTGTTTTATCTTTCCATTGTTCTTATTACCAAGCATTAGATGTGTGACCTTGGATAAGATCCTTGACCTCATCTGTAAAATGAGAAAAATACCTTTCCTGAACACCTTGTGGATTTGGGCTAAGGATTACATGGTGTAGTGCAGCATTTCCCTGGCCCTGGAACAGAGACCATCTGGATCAGAATCACCCAGGAAGCTTTTTAGAGCTACAGATACTAAGAGGCTCCATCATCTGTCCTCAACCAGGATCTCTGTGGGTGAGGCTTGGCAGCTTTATCTTTAACAAGCTCTCCTAGTAATTCTGATAGGCAGCCAAGTTTAGGATCCACCTGGCATAATATCCATGGACACATTTTTTAAACTTTTGAAAGTTTATGTGCCAGGCAAATACTAGGTATATCTCTTCTTTTGCAGTCTGATTTTATAAAACCACCGTTTAGTTTTTTGTGGCTTGAGTTTATAGCTGTTCAACAAACTTTTAATGAGCTTGTGCTCAGTGGAAAACCCCACCTAGCAGGGGGTGTTCTGCAGGAGTGTCAGGATAAAGGGCCACCACCCATTACTGAGGTCCAGTAGAATTGGTGGTCTTGTAGAGTCAGCTGGCACTGTGCTCTCTCATGATCATTCTCATCTCTGCACCTTTCAGGTGAACTCCAGTTTGCCTTTGTGTGCTTCCTCCTGGGGAACGTGTATGAGGCATTTGAGCACTGGAAGCGACTCCTGAATCTCCTGTGCCGGTCAGAAGAAGCCATGATGAAGCACCACACCCTCTACATCAACCTCATCTCCATCCTGTACCACCAGCTTGGCGAGATCCCTGCCGACTTCTTTGTGGACATTGTCTCCCAGGATAACTTCCTCACCAGCACCTTACAGGTGAGCAATCTTTTGGCTGACACCCATGTGGATCAAAATTAAGACAAGGATGTGTGAAGCCTCAGGAGGGTTACTTTCACTTTTTTGTTTCAGTTTCCTGACCTCACTGTGTTTCCTGGTTCACTCTCCTCAGTTGTAAGTTTCTTGATGCCAGAGACCCTCTCTCTATACCACTGTCTCCCTGCCTTGCTCTGAGAGTGCCACGCAGTGGGGTCCTTGGCATTTGAATAACCTCCTCCTCTATAAGTTATTCAGCTCAAAACACTTTTTTTTTTTCGTTATTCAGCTCAAAACACTTTTTTTTTCTTTCTCCCTGTAACCATAAGTTGGTATAACCCAGTAGGACAGAGTGTTGAAGCTTGTTATTTCCAGGGAAACATCTGCAGCTCCTTAGATCTCATTTAAGCGTTAAAGTAACTTTGATTTCCTGTTCAAACAAAACGTGCCAGTTTCTGCAGAGATTCTCTGACAGAAAAAGTGAAATTTGCTTTTAACTTGGCAATTAAATTTTCATTATGAGTGGTAATTAGGGAAGAAGCTTCAAACAACTTACAATCTTCATCCTGTGCTATTTCCTCCCTTTGCAAATAGATTAGCTTCCTTTATGTTCTTGGGACAGCCTCTGTCACTCACATTTTGTAACTTTCTCAAGTGTCGAAAAGGCAAAAGCTGCAAGCTGTCACTTTCCATACTTTGTGTTCCATGAGCTGCTTTTTTCTCCCTGTGTGTGAGACTACTATGAGGCCTGCTCCTTCAAAGGTGGCTGTTCACTAACCTACCACTCACACCTGGGCTGAGAGAAGGAACAAACACATCCAGTAAATGCCTGTGGAGTAGCAGGCATTATGTTTACCATGCTACTTGGGTTCCCTCATTTAATCTCCCTGGAATCCTTCAAGGCAAGGGAGGATGATTTCCTATTTACAAATGAGAACATTGGGACTCAGGAAGGTTAAGTCATTTATGTAAGGTCACACAGCTGATAAGTGGCAGAGTCAGGATTTGAACTCAGGCTTGTGTTTATGCTCCTATGTACTGAATATAATACAGATTCCCCCAGTAAAGATTCTTGATTGACATCAATGGAGACATCACCAGGGGCTTATGTCTCAGAGGTATGGAACACTTTTCTACAAACAATATACTGTTGGAAGAATCCCTGTAAGCAGGCAGCTGACTTAAAACTCTGGCAGTTGGAGACCATGGGGACCAGTTGTTTGAGCTTGGAGTGTTCCACTTCAGAAGAGTTATAAAATTGCTCTTTTATTGTTTCTTGACATAACAGAGAAATTAAATCCCTTTATCTTTCCTCTGAAGGAGGAAATCCTGCCCTCTGTCCCCCATCAAGTTCCTGGGTTACATGAGCTAGTAACAGATGAGGGATGGAGGGGGCAATAGCTTGCTAACTAGCCTCTGGCAGCAGCCCGTGGAAATGATGTGCTCCCCTTGTGATGTGTGTTAATAGTGTCATATAGACATAGGAGGGCCACACTGTGTCATTGGCTGTCCTGACCATTGTTAACAGAGCTGACCGACAGCTGAGCTCTGATTGTTGATGCTGTTGCCAGCAGTGATTTCTGAAGCTGAGAGGGCCCAGCTGGATCACTGAATGCCCAGGTAGGGTGTACAGACTGACAGTTGGAAGAATTCTGTCTTTGGACTTTTCACCAAGAAAATTTGATGTCATTATTTGGAAAAATCCAGGACACATGCCTTTATTTTTTTATTTTTTTAAAGATTTTATTTATTCATTCATGATAGAGAGAGGCAGAGACACAAGCAGAGGGATCCCTGGGTGGCGCAGCAGTTTAGCGCCTGCCTTTGGCCCAGGGCGCGATCCTGGAGACCCGGGATCGAATCCCACGTCGGGCTCCCAGTGCATGGAGCCTGCTTCTCCCTCTGCCTGTGTCTCTGCCTCTCTCTCTCTCTCACTGTGTGACTATCATAAAAAAAAATAAATAAAAATAAAAAAAAAATAAAAAAAATAAAAAAAATTAAAAAAATATATCAGCATATATTTTTGAGCATTCTATCTTTGTATACAACATTCTCCTGAAAGTGTTGAGGGATCCATATGTTGGTCAGGGTTCCTGCCCTCCGAGAGATTTATTCATTGATTTACCAGGGATTTGCTGACCATCTTAATAGATTCAAGGGCCTGTTGTAGGACTGGAAATATGGCTGTGAACAAGATAGAACCCCTGATTTGCAACTTATATGTTGGTTGGAAAGTAAACAAATGGATTTACCAGGTCACTCCAGACAGCATTGTTTAGAAGGTGGTCTGCCCTGATACCGTTTACCTGACACAGGCCCTGAGACCTTCTTAGTCCCAGCTAGACTGCATCTGTTTGTCAGCTCCTGTGCCCACCCCTGGCGGTCCACCTGTCTGCATGCTGCCACCTGAATTGCTCTGAAATGCAGATCTGATACTATTTTTCTGTATACTTCCTCATCACCTAGAAAATTAAAAGCCCAAACATAGATCATAAGGCCCATTCTGATCTGGTTCCTGATCTGTTCTCCAACTTCTACCTCTCCTTATTTTCCCCTGTCAATTCTAGTAGTAGTGTTCTCCTTACAAGTTCCCAGACATACTATGCTATTTCAAGCCTTTTTTTTTTTTATTTTTATTTATTTATTTTAGAGAGAGTGAAAGCACAAGCTGGGGTGGGGACAGAGAAAGAGAGCAGATCTCAAACAGACTGCACAAAGTGCAGAGCCCTACTCAGGGCTCCATCCCACAACCCTGAGACCATGACCTGAGACAAAACCAAAAATTGGATGCTTGACCTGCTGAGCCAACCAGACACATACGACCACCACCCCTTTTAAATCATGGTAAAAATTAGCACATAACATGAGCCCTACTCTCTTAACATATTTTTAAGTGTACAGTACTGGTAACTATAAGCACAGCAGTTCTCTAGAACTTTTTCATTTGGTACGACTGAAATTTTATGCCAGTTTCATTCCTTCTTAACTGAACATGATTTTTGTTCTGCCTGGTGTGAACTTGTTCATTCTACAAGATGCCCTTAAGGTATCCCTCTCTCGGAAGCCATTCCCGATCTCTCTCCTTTCCATACTATTAGCCTACTTTGGACTTGTCACTATTATATTACACAGTCTCTGTCTGCTGAAATGTCTGCATTGTCTGCCTGACTTCCCCACTAAGCCATGAGCTTTTACCCAGAGCCTGTTTTGTTGTTCATCTGGTTATTTTCAACACCTAGTTGATCCTAGCACTTCTCTCACTTTGTATTATTGGGTGTTTCTAGATGACTAGAGTACATAATTTCTGTGGTAGTGTAGATAGATGCCCCTAATATGACAGGTGTAAACGCTGCAGTCTGATCAAAGGACATTATAAGCACCAAAAAGGAATTGGTTAATTCAGACTAGGGTTGCAATTTGAGAAGATAGAGGATCATGAGTGACTGTGAAGGAGGCGTTTAAGCATGTGCTAGAACGATGACAGATTTCAACAGGCACAATGTAGAAAAGGATATTACAAAAAAAAAAATGGTTTTTTTTTAATGGAGAGTTAACGTTGGTACCATTTTGGCAGTGAGAATCCAGTCCCCCCACCCCACACGGAGGCACTCACTCAGGGTGTGTGTGAGTGAATGAATCAGCCCATAAAAGCCTTCCTCAGCCAGCCGCCTGCTCTGCCCCCCAGGTAGTCAAGTAAGTGGAACTGGCTTTCTTACTTAGGAGCTTAAATGGCTACTACCCATGGAGAGGGACTGGTGTGTTTGTATGTGTAAGCACTTAAAGGCTGCCACATTAGCTAGTATAAAATTAGCCACGTAATGGCCTCTGCCATTAGAGGCCCTTTTGAATAGATGTCACTGGTTTTTATAAATCCCATGGATTTAGCTTGAATAAAAATTATTTGTTTTACAAAAATAGATACAGTTTTTTCTTTTATTAAAAGCAACTTGAGTCACCATAATTTGTTTAAAACCAATGAAAGGATAATCTGAATTTAATAGTATGTTAGAAAGTGAGTTCTGTACAAAATAAGGATTCTCGTTGCTGATTGCATAGCATTTAGGCCTATAGTCACGTAACCTATTTTTTAAAATACTTTTAGTCACAATAGGCCATCTATGCTTTCCAGCTTCATTTCTTGCCAATATTCTAAATGCCAATGTCCCATCTTTACCTCTTGATGGAAGAGTTTTTATCATAACACCTGCCATAATCAGTTTCACCTACCTACTCACACATTTTCTGCCATCAGCTATCATCTTTGCACAGTTATCGTGTACATTATCTCATTTAGCCCTCACTATAGTGCTTAGAGTTACGTATATAATCTCATTTTACAGTGAGGAAACAGGATCAGAGAGGTCACATGATTTTGCCCAAGATCACCAGAACTAGTGGATGGCAAGGTTGAGTTGATTCTGAAGTCTGTGGTGGGCTCCCGTTTATTATTCCCAGATGAAACATCCCAAATTCTTTAAATTAACCTCAGAAGACATGATTCCTGCTGCTTGTTACCCTCCTGGTAATCATTGTGAAATTATAGTTTTGTTTAACACCACTTTCTTCTGCAAGTGGAAATAGAATGTTCTACCTCTGGCTAGTTTCATTCTAAGTTGTATAATCATTTGGGAATTGAAAAAATTAGGAAATTTCATCTTTTTTGTCCAAAAAATAGGATGAGATAGTGACTCAGCTACCTACCTTGATATTTTGAATTTCTCAAGGTGACCTGGCTGAACTCAATTTATTTAACTTGGGTTTATTTATTTATTTTTTTAACTTGGGTTTAAAAGAAGGCTTTCACGTTTCTGATTAAAGTAATTTACAATCTTAGTAAAATTGTATACATAAATGTATACAGTCTCTTAAGTATACAGACTTAATGATAGAAATATTAATACTTTTTTCTATATTTAAAGAAAAATACCCAAGGGGTATGCTTTTAGTTGTAGGGTTTTGTTTTTTTTTAATTTATTTATTTGACAGAAACACAAGCAGGGAGAGTGGCAGGGAGAGGGAGAAGCAGGCTCCCTGCTGAGCAAGGAGCCTGATGCAGGGCTCCATCCCAGGACCCTGGGATCATGACCCGAGTCGAAGGCAGATGCTTAACCACCTGAGACAACCAGGCGCCCCATATGCTTTTAGTTTTAGAGAAATACAATTGTTTATGAAATGTTGATGTCTTCTTTCAAAAGTATTTTTAAAATATCCAGGATTGGGCACCCCCGGTGGCACAGCGGTTTAGCGCCGCCTGCAGCCCGGGGTCTGATCCTGGATACCCAGGATCGAGTCCCGCGTCAGGCTCCCTCCATGGAGCCCGCTTCTCCCTCTGCCTGTGTCTCTGCCTCTCAGTCTCAGTCTCTCTCTCTCTCTCTCTCTCTCTCTCTCTCTCTCTCTCTCTCGGAATAAATAAATTTAAAAAAAAATGCTTATTTAAAAAAAATAAAAATAAAAAATAAAATATCCAGGATTAATCTTCTGATATTAAGATGATTGATTTCTCAGTGATGTTAAGAAGTGTTTACTTGATTTCACTTTAATAAGTAAAATAAATAGATCATTACCAAATTTTCTGAAGAAGCCATAAAATTAATCTAAAACCAAGAGAATTGGGGCACGTGGGTGGCTCAGTGGTTGAGCATCTGCCTTTGGCTCAGGTCATGATCCCCGGGTCCTGGGATTGAGTCCCACACTGGGCTCCCTACAGGGAGCCTGATTCTCCCTCTGCCTATGTCTATGCCTATCTTTCTGTGTCTCTCATGAATAAATAAATAAAATCTTAACAACAACAAAAAGAATCAAAGTAAATTACTGCTTGAAAACTAGGTAATGTCTATATATCTCCTTTTCTGAATTATGGGTTTTTAAAATGTCAAGTTTGTGGACTGTAGGGACAAAAATAGATCATTGGATGCAAGAGGCTTGGGTAAGGGGAGCTTTTGACCACTAAGCAGCACAAGGGAATTTCTTGGAGTGATGAGACTGTTCAGCATCCTGATTGTGATGGTATGTGGGCCTCAGAGTCATAAAACTGAATACCAAAAGAAAACTAATATCTGTCTTAATTATATCATACAATGTTTGCATGGGTGTTCACATTTGTCCAGACGAATCGAGCACATAAAATGGGTGAATTTAGTTGTATGTAAGTTATACCTCAATAAAGTTGCTTTTTTAATAAAAGTCAACCTGGACTATGCTGTGGGTCCTGGAGGCCCACAGAGGGGACAGTTCCAGAAGCACCTAGTCTCCAAGCCCCCTGGCTCTCCACAGGACAGTGCTGAAAATATGACGAATATATTAAATCTGTGTTGAGACAAAAAGAAGGTCTTCGTAGGGACAAAGGGTTCAGATTTCCCTACTTGGACCTGCTCTCGCTTAACATTTATTACTTGCTCAGCCTTTATCACCATTCTCATCTGTACAGTGGGAATAGTAATTTCCTGTCCTCTTACCTCCCAGGTTTATAGTACCCAGACTTGTAGTAAAGATTTAATCGACAAGTTCTTTAAAAAGGACAAAGCACTTTTTAAATTAGAAGCCCTATTTTTCAGACAGAAGGTTTCTATTATACCTGCTCTGGTTGATTTTACTCCCAGGCATTGTTTGAGGGGGTGGGAAGAATGAGTGATGAGTATGAGCCCAGCCTGTTTAGACCTGTTACTGCTGGCCATTGCCAAATGCAGGGCAGTCCCTTCATCTCATCTCATTCATATCTGTTCAGTGAGCTTCCTGTGGGGCCTAACTCTATGCCAGGCTCTGGGCGATATGCTATGTGGGACATGTTGATAAAAAAGGACTCATTCTCTACTCTTGAGGAGCACAGATCACTGTGATACAAGCACAGTGTAAGAAATGACGTGAGGGAAGTTAAGGCCCAGTGCTAGGGGACCAAAGGCTGAAACTTTTCAGCCTGGACTTTTGTAAAAGGCCTGTCTTAAGGAAGTGGCTTGTGAGCTGGTGGTATGCAAGGGGCCACCTCCTCTCCAGGATGAGACCTTTCTTTTGTTCAGCACCATCACATAATTATTGAGGAATTATTTGGTCCCAAGGACTTGTGCAAAAGTGAACCAAAAATGGATTTTCACAGAGTTTATGGTCTTCTTCATTCTTTTGCTCATTAAACACCTAATGGGTCCTTTATGCCAAACTCTGTGCCAGGAGTGTAATATACAGTAGGAGAAAGAGTCACTGGTTTGGAGTTGCTCCTTGTCTCTTGGGAGAGCTCAACAGTAAATGGACTCTTACCTGAGATTGAGGCTATGTTTGTGGTAACCTTGGGCGCTGGAGGAGCATAAAGGAACACCTGTTCCATCCTTGGTCTGGGAAAACATCCTAAAGGAGCTGATGTCTCAGCTGAACATGAATCACTAGTAGAAATTAGTAGGTGAAGAAGGTGAAAGCAGGGATAGAAGGGTGTTCTAAGCAGAGGAAAAAGCATGTGTGTAGAGGCACAGAGAGACTGTAGAGCTTGTTTGGCAGCTGCTCATCATGGCTGGAGAGGCAGGGCTCTGTAGAGAGGGATACAATTTACTGTGTAAGGAGGGGAACAGGAAGAGGCTTTTACAGATTCAGCCAGCAGGCTCCCCAGGACCTTGGGACAGACTCTGGGGTATGCAGGGCCTCTGAAACTAATGCTGTTTGAAACAAGGTTTCTCTACTTCTGGTATGGGGCTCCTCCCCAGAGTTCAGCTGGGCTCCACCTTCACACTCCAGGGCAAGCTAAGCTCCATTAGCTGCGTACAGACATGCAGCCGGCTTCCCTGCTGCCCTCTTGCCACCGAGCTCACACAACCCCTCTAATTAGTTATTGATCTGCTGTTTTGTTGTGGCTGTGCTTCCCGCTCCTGTATTTAGTCGATTCCCAAGTTGATGAAACCAAATTCTGTAACCCCCTCTTCTGCTTGTGTACACACACAACCCCCAATCACTTATGTCCGTGCTACCACCCCAACAAAATGACTCCAAACAAAGACCACTGAAATGAGCTTCACTCCTGCTAACAGACAGTGGAGAAGCAAGTACCCCTGGAATCAGCTGTAGAGTACACCTGTTAACTTTGTCAGGTGAGGGCCCCTAGAGCGCAGATTCCTTCCATGGTGATCTGCAGGCAAGCTACAGCAGGAGACTGATTTGGAACAAAGTTTCCCCCACCCTGTGCCTTGTGTCTGTGAGGTGGTCTGGGGGAAACTACTACTTCCTTTCCTTCTAGTTTTCATCCAGTCATTTAACTCCTCTTTGCCTACATTTCCATAAAATAGGTATTCTGGGGTGTCTCCCCAGAGCATTGTGAGGATCTGTGGGGATACTCTGAAACTTTTTTGAATTTGATAACAGTAAAACAGTATGAGAAGGAATAATGAGTTTGCTCATTGGTGATTGGGATCCAGGAAAATCTGGAATGGAGTGTCAGATGTAGAGAAAATTAGCCTCTGCCCCCTGCCCATGTTTATGTCAGATGAAACTGAATTAAAAAGAACATCAAAACAAGGGATTAATATCCAGAATATACAAAGAACTACAATAACAACAACAAACCTGACTAAAAATGGGCAAAAGACTTAGACATTTCTCCAGAGAAGACATAGAAATGGCCAGTGCATCTACATGAAAAGATGTTCAGCATCACTTATCATTAGGGAAATGCAGATCAAAACCACAATGAGATAGCACTTCACACCCATTATGATGGCTATTATTAAAAAATAATAATAATAACAAAAACCAGATCTTGCCCTTGTTTGTTGCTGAAAGGTGGTTTCCAGGGGCTGGGGGGAGGGGGAAATGCGAAGTTAGTGTGGGTACAAAGAGAAAGTATCAGTTGGGAAGGATAGTCAAATTCTGAAGATGGATGATGGTAATGGCTGCATAGCAGTGTGAATTTATTTAACACCACTGAATTGTACCTTTAAAAATGGTTAAAATGGTAGGTTTTGTGTTTTGTACATGTTACCACAATTTTATTTTATTTTTTTTAGAGAGAGCGAGGGAGGGACAAAGGGAGAGGGAAAGAGAATCCTAAGCAGGCTCCATGGCCAACACGGAGCCTGACGCAGAGCTCGATCTCACAACCCGAGATCGCGACCTGAGCTAAAATCAAGAGTTGGACGTTTAACCGCCGCTCAGGTGCCCGTTACCACAATTTTAAAAGAACATCAAAGACAACTTTCAAAGGGAATAGAAACCTCTGACTGGTAAGCCTGTGGCCCATGTAGATTAGAGCAGCAGTTCAGCCCCGTTGGCCTAGGGCCTGGGACTTGATGGGATGCAGAGCTTATAAGCCCTCCAAAACTGTTTTGGTACCAGCTGGTGTAGTTATTGCCCAGGTGCCCAGGAGAGCTCCCCAGGGGACTGGGCCAGGGTGATGGCCCCATTGGCCTTACTCTCAATGGGGCATCTCTGCCTAAGAGTAATTTTCCATTCTAGTCCTGCCCCAGCCACTCAGCTGGGTTTGGACCTTCTTTCTTGGTTTGGGGGGAGCACAGCAGGTGTCTTGGGCCTGTGCCAGCAGCAGCTGATCCACCCGCCCCAGAGAGCTGAACACCATGAGGAAATTTCCACAGCTTTCTTGGCCCCCTCTGTGTTCTCAGGAGTGACTTACCCTCTGTTCTCTGTAGGTTTTCTTTTCCTCCGCCTGCAGCGTTGCCGTGGATGCCACCCTGAGGCAGAAAGCTGAAAAGTTCCAAGCTCACCTGACCAAGAAGTTTCGGTGGGACTTTGAGGCAGAGCCAGAGGACTGCGCCCCAGTGGTGGTGGAGCTCCCTGAAGGTGTGCAGACTGGCTAACTGGGAATACTGCCAGCCAGGGGAGGCCCCTTCCCACATGGTTACAGTCCTGGCCTCTCCATTCATGCCTTCCTTCTGGGACCTGCAGGGCAGTGGCCCTACCAGGTTCTGCAAAGATGGAGCCAGAATTCCCTCTTTCACCAATAAATAAGTTTCTTCAGTGCCAGAGAGGCAATATGCCTCCCAGAGGCACATTCATCAGTTCCCATCAGCCTGGCCGTGAGGCTGATCTGACCAAATTCCACATGGGCTCTTAGAGAAGCTCTCGGGAGAGACCTGCCTCAGTAGCACCCTGCTTCCTTCCCAGGGAAAAAAATGTGAGTCAGTAGCCCTAGAGAACTGATTGCTTGCTTATTCCATAGGATGGTTAGAAAACAAGAAACCCTGGACTACACGAGTTTGGTGTATCGGTTGATGACTTAAAAGTTAAACAGGGTGCTAGGGAGATGGACTAGAATTTCTGCCTGTCCCTTGTTAAATGGGAACACATCACAGAAAACATGGCGGATATGTGACTACTCAGGAGCTCCAGACTGGGGAGAGGGGACCCAGAAGACAGTTGGGTTGAGTCTGACAAGTGGTCAGCTTTTGCTTTCTCCGTCTAAGTCCCTTCCTCCTGACCAGAGTGGATAGTTGTCCAAGATTTGTGGCTCCTGACCTCAGGGGCCTGCTGATGCCATGTCCCTCCCATCTGTTCCATTCTGAGGTCTCAGACCCAGAAGTGGGACTGGGCACCCCTTCTATATGGCCCCATTCCTCACCAGAGCCACCGTGACTGGAGATTCAACAACAAAGAGAGAGGTTCTTACTCTAGATAGGTTTCTTTGGCCCCATTGAAGCTCTGTATCTTTATTCAGAGCTCAGGAGATGACCTGGCTAACCTAGATCTTCCCAGTCCTGCTGTAGAGCTGTCAGCCACAGAAGTAATGAAGCTTCCCTTCCCTTGCAGTCCTGAGGGTGTGCCCATCCCACACAGGTCCTGCCACCCTGACCACAAACTGTTGTACTATGATCAGAGTCACTGTACCATTCTTTTCGAGGGCCACGGCTAACACCAGTTTTCTGAATGAGAATCCATGCTGGTTAAGACTTTCGGTTCTACTTGCTTCCTTGGAGATGTTTTTCCAAGAGCATAATGTACATTAAAGTCTTTGAATTGAGACTAAATCCCTTTGTGTGAGCCTCTTGCAGTTTATTTGCCCACTCCTCAGCTGCCAGGCCACTGTCCACAGACCCAGACTTCTCCCTGCTGAGCGCCAGGAGACCCTACCCAATATCTTTTGTCTTGAGGCAAGCAGCCAGCGTTGCCTGCTGCTACCAGTCGAGCCTCCGAGATAGGCGTACCTGAAGAAGGGACTGAGGCCCCGTAGCCCTATAATAACCAGAAGTTAGGCCTTGTGTGAATGTACTGTTCTCTTCCTCTCGAAGCCCACTCATCACAACTACCTGGGGAGCTTATCACAGGTGCATATTCCAAAGGAATGAGTTCCTGGTCCATGCTATGACATGGATGAACCCCTGAAAACATAGTGCTGAATGGACGGAGCCAGATACAGACCCTGTGTTATGTGAGTGCATTCCTGTGGGTTGTCCAGAATGGAAAAATCCAGAAAGGGAAATTAGTGGTTGCCAGAGACTGGGAGAGTGGGGGATGGGGTCGACTGCCAACAGCTACGGGCTTGCTTTCTGAGGTGATGGAAAGGTCCTGGAATTCGTGGTGATAAGATCATACAACCTTATGAATATACTAAAAACCACTGAAAGTGTGCACTTAAAATGGTGAATTTTATGCTATATTAAATTATATCTCAATAATAATGTTTTAAAGTGTATTCCCAAGTCCTACCCCACGGGGATTCAGAGGCAATGAATCTGAATATGGCCTGGGTCCTGAGACATACTCAGTTTTGAGTAACTACCCAGAAGTGACAGCACTGCGATTTAGTGCTGAGATCTCCACTGGGACAGAATTTGTCTCCCATTGGCATTGTTGGGACAGCACCTAGCAGTGGGGTCATGTGACTTCTTTTTCAAACTGTTGGTCTTCTGTCTATATAATGTAGACCTGCTATCCCCAACATCCACACAAACAGGAGTGAAGAAAAAGTAACTACTATTTACTAAGTGCTCTGTTCTGTTACTTCTCTTAATCCTCACAAAAATACAAGGTAAGTGCTATTCTTCTTACCATTTTACTGATAAGAAAATGGGCTCGGAGAACTTCAGTCATTCTGCCCTGGTTCCACAGCTGGAAAGGATTGAGGACAAGAGTCAAGCCCAAGCCCCATGGTACCCGCTGCATTCACCGCTGTGACGCACTCTCTCCCTGCCCTTGCATGACCCCAACAGCCTTCCCCCCTCCCTGCTTCCCAGATGGAGCCTGGGTCCTGTCACCAGACAGCATAAGCCACTTCCATTCTTCAGGCCTCAGTCTACTACATATAAGAGAGTTTGCTTGGATTTGGGGTTTCTGATGTATATATTCTTCATGCTCCCTCGTGGACCATTGTATGATTTTAAATGTTTTCAAAAGGGGGGCAGCCCCTGTGGTGCAGCGGTTTAGCGCCACCTGCATCCCGGGGTGTCCCACATCGGGCTTCCTGCATGGAGCCTGCTTCTCCCTCTGCCTGTGTCTCTGCCTCTCTCTTCACTCTCTCTGAATGAATGAATGAATGAATGAATGAATAAATAAATAAATAAATAAATAAATAAATCTTAAAAAATAAAATAAAAAATAAATAAATGTTTTCAAAAGGGAAACTACATTTGCACTGGACGTGACTGGGCTGACGAAAAACCAATAGGTCTCTTGTTTGGGGCTGGAGTGACATCGACACTGTCTTCTGCATATCCCAGCTGGCAGTCCTCTATGTGTCTTTGATGAATAAAAAATGTGAAAACAAATTAATTATTACTACTTGGAGTATTTCTGGAAGGCAGAACCCTTGCACATGGAGAACCAGTGGCCTTGCTGACCTATAAGCTCCTTCCAGTTCTAACACATCTAAAAGGGAAGCTATTGGCAGGACCTGGCCTGATTTCCAAATCCCCTCAAATGCAGGCCTCCTGAGGTCTGGCTCTTATTTGCAAGGCTGCTTTATCCTATTAACAGAATCAGCAGAGGTAGCAACTCCCCAACCACTCCCACTGTCCCCACGACAACCCTTGCTGATTTGAGCCCATCGGTCTAATTTCTCACCACTTGAGCAGCAGAGGAGTTCCCCGCAGCGACTGCCTCTCACCATCAATAATTACTTTCCCAACGTCATCCCCTTGTAAATATTATTTAATATTGCCAGGGCGCCGTGACATGTTGGTTTCTTCAACTACTCAGACTCTGGCTCAACCAAAATGCCGTCCCCTGCTGCAATGGGGGCTGGAGATGCATGGTGGGTGCCTAGGCTTAGCACTGAGTCTCAGCTCTGTCACATCCGCTGGGTCTGACTGACAGAACAGAGTAGCAGACCGGAGTAGGGAAGCTCACCTGAGCTACCTGCTGACACTGGGGGCAGTGTGGATCTGTTCTCCCATCCCCCACTGACCAGGGCACTTCTTTGCCTCGGAGTTCTATACATCTGGCCCAGGCAGGCTTTGTTTTCACAAGAACATTCTACCTTGAGTATCCCACGTCTCCATGCTGGTGCTGGCTCATTCTCCCCCAACCCTGGGCCCCTGCCCTGGACTGGCCTCCCTACTGAGATGGGGGAATGAGAGCCAGAAATAGTGTCAGCTGTTCCCTGCTGGTGGGGGGAGCAGGTGTGTCCCCAACCTGCTGGCCTTCTTGTTCTGTGTCCTCAATCTGGTGCTTACCAGGATAAACTCATTAGGTTTCTCTGGAGAACAGGGATCCTGGGGGTTGGTGGTTAAAATGTTTGGTGGGAGAAAGGTAGGAGAAGTAGGGGGCTTCTTAGTCCAATGTCAGATGGCCTGTGTGAAACTCCACAGGTCTTTCTTTCTTGGATCTTTATCTTCTTCCCTCCCCGATTTCTCAATTTTTCCTGCGTCCCCTCCAGACTTGTTACCTGGCTCAAGTCTGGATTCAACACTTCTAAAGGGATGCTGACAGATGGGTTACATTTTGGGGAGAGGGAGTTGTCACATGAGAAGCAGTTGAAGAAAAATGTGGAGCCCTCCCCCAAAGGCAGAGAGGCTGAGAGAACTGTCTTGAAGGAGGAGGTCTCTGTGCCCTTCAAAGTATGGAGTTGGGACCCATGGGAGAAGTTACAGGGAGTCAGCAGTGGGCTCTGTTCCTTCTTCATCCAAACAGTACTTTCTAAGTGCTGCCCCGTGAGCTTACGCTCATTGGGGGGGAGGGGCAAACAACAGGCATAAAAAGTAGGTTACAGAGATTGTTGTAAGAAATGCTCTAGAAAAAACTAGAGCAGGATAAGGCACATTGATAGTCCAGGCAGGGTAAGAGATGTCACGACTTAAATGGAGTGATACTTGAGCACAGATTTGAAGGTGAGCAAGGAGCCATGTGGACATCTGGGGAAGAGGGTTTCCAGGCAGAATGAACAGGGAATGCAAAGGCCCTGGGGCAGAAGCACACCTACTGTGTTACAGGAACACGGGGGAGGGGTTTGGCAGTATGGTGAGGGTGCAGCTATCAAAGGAGGGAATGGTCGGAGAGGAAATGGCAGCTACAGGGGATCACACTGTCCAGGGATTAGGGGCTGTTGTAAGAACCTTGCATTTCATTCAGTGAGATGGGGGCCCATTAGAGGGTTTTAAACAGAGAGTGACGTGGTCTGAATTTTAACAGGATCACAAACTGGACACAGACTGCAGGGGGATGGGTGGAAGCCGGGAGACCCTAAGGAGGCTAGAGCAGTAATCCAGGTGCCAGAGGGCACTGATTCGGGTAAGGTGTGCATACTGGGCTGCATTCACGACTCAGAAGAAGGATGCACCCGAGGCCTTTCAAGGGCTCTGCTGGCCAGATAATCTCTCACTTCTCGGAAGTCTCAGAATCTAGGCAGAAGACCACCAACTCGTCGGATCCCCATCCCCACACAAGTCCCCACTCTCCTGTCCCTTGGGTCTCTGTCAGCGCTTCCAGTTCCCATATGCCGGAGGCACATCTGGGCAGGTGGGGCAAGGATGAAGGACTGGGGAGGGCTGCCACAGGAATTCCAGGCCTGGGAGTGGGGGTGCTCTGTGGGGCAGCCCTAATTCAGGGGGCGTGGCAGGCTTGGCTCCACCCCCAGACCCTCCCCTCCGCGGGAGCTCTTGCTGCCAGGGGCCAGTGGTTAGGGTCCCGCCTTGCAACTCACAGATTGCGAGCACGTGTGAAGGCCCCGCGGGTCCGAATCTGTCCTGGTCTTGCAAGAATCATTCTGGCACCCGCTTCCATCACTGCAGTTTCATGGCCTTCACGACGATTGATATGACCCAGCACGTAGTGGGGGCCTCCTCCTGGCTGCTGGGCACTGTGTTGGGTCGGAGGCGGAGCACCAGGTCTTCAAGGAAGGCCTTATTCCTCATCCTACAGAACAGAGGAGGAAGGCGAGGCGCAAAAGGGTGCGGCACATCGGAGCCAGAATCCAGCCCGCCTGTATGAGTGAGGCACTGCCCTGCGGCGTCGAAGCACTCCTTAATAAGGACGCTTACGTAATCTGTGATAATTACCCGTGGATCCGAGGCTGCCAACCTGACAACTTACAGTGGCAGCCCCCCTCCCCCCGCCCCTGGGTTCGTGAGAGCTTCCTAGTGTTTCCACCCAGACCCTCTGTGTCCAATATCTGGCTGGCCTAGGGACACCCTGGACCTGGGTGTGGGGGGCGGGGGGCAACAGCCGGTTCAGAAGGAGGCTGCCTCTGCCCCTAACGGACCACCAGAGCCACTGAGGGGCCACTTAGTCCGGGGCGCACGGAAGCCGAGGGCCCTTGCATTCTGTCCCACGAGAGTTGCTGTTGAGTTTACCAAAGGCATTTATTTGCTTTAGAGAAGGATGCTGCCAGATATGGGGGCTCTTGAGGGGCTGATTTCCTGCCCAGACATCCACTAGGCAGGTCTTGGCCTCTGTTCTTCCCTCTGTGGATCAAGAAAATTTTATCTGGGGTCTAGCAACCCAAAGGTAGAAGACAGGATGTGGGAATTTGGGGGGGGGGGGGTGGCTTCTTCATGGCACATTTTGAATGCAGAAGCCTACATCACTATTCATT